CCCCTCGCAAAATCAAAATCAAAATAGAAACCCGTAAGAAATTTTGTGTGAAATAGGTCCCCATGAAGTTGCTATGTCCAAGCGGAATAATATAACCTACGTCAAGCCGCAGGAACCCAGTTTTTTGGCCAAACTGAAGGCACAAATCGGCTACAAAGAGGGCCCTTCCGTCGACACAAAGGTAAGAATCCAAGTCGCTGCCGCCGCTATCATGACCTAACGTGCCGCCTGCTCTGTGTGTCTCTTTTGGAATAGCGCCAGCGACTCGAAGACGAGGACCCAGAGGACACTGACTCTGGCGAGGAACGGCCGGAAAGGGAGGACGAACAGCCCCAGGTGGTGGTACTTCAGGCCGGAGATCTCTCCGCAGCGGAGGCGCTCGAGGAGAAACGATTAGCCGCCCAAGGTAAGCATACACACACACACTCTCGTACCATCCGGCATATATGTGTACGCGACAGCTGCAATGGTGTGGCGTCGGTGTGTGCGTAGGTAGGATGTAGTTTGTCTGTGGCAGTGTTTTTTCAGTTCCGTTGAGCGGCGGTCGTTCCACGCTTCTTTCTGCCCTATGCTCTATAGTATATACATATAGTATAGCGGTATGTACATATGTACATGCTACGTGCGCGCGTGTTGGTGTGTGTCTTTGCAGTTTTGCAACTGAAACTGAAAATTTAAATAAAATATAAACAAAATAGAGACGATCCAAATCGCAACTGCGAAAATCGAAAAAAAATCGCAGAATTGGCGCCCGTTCCACATTTTTGAATTTGTTCTGGTGCGTGAGTTACTTGACAGAGAAAAAGAAAACGGTTTTCCGTGGCATTCGACGACCTGTGCTGAATATTTTGGCAATGGAAAATTCGATTTTTGGTGATAGCTTCATCGATCCTAACCTCGAAAATGTTTCTGGTTGGTAGCTTGCTACTTGCCACGCCCGCCTGTCCGCCAGGAGATGGAGTAGCCCGCCCACCTGGATTGCCCTGCCGTCTTGGTTGCCGTGACAGCACCCGACCCCATTCCTGGCGGAGATTCGCTTTTGCAATTAGTGGCCAGCGGAGCACCCTCGAACTAACACACACACAGACAGACAGACACATCCACTTACACAGTTACACAAACGCCCACACGGACACGGAATACTTAGACAATGGCCAAGGCATACATACGGCTGGCTCCACCAAAGCAAAGCATGTGATGAAAATCATAGTCAAAGTGGAGCGCCCGATAAAGCAGCCGGCAAAGAAGTTAACAAATAACAGCGGCCCAACAACAGCTGCCTGCCTGCCGCTCGCTGCTTGTCGCTTTGTTGCCCGCCACAGTCGCTCGGCAGTGCCGTACCCGCACCCGTCCCCGTCTCGGCTCTTCACTTGCACACTGTAGCGCAGAAAATCGGGTGAAAACGTGTGAAAGAACGAACGAAGGAAGCAGCCAAAGTGGAGAGACAATGATGAACGAAACAAGCGAGCAAAGAGTACGGCAAGTGGCTTGACGACGACAACGACGTGGACGTGGAGGTGGTGGTGGAGGATGTATCTGGGCTGTACTAGCTGTACGGGGAGCGTAGTTGTCCGTTTTGTCGTTCGGGTTGGCGAATCCGATGGTGGAGCACAGGGGGGGAAGAGTGTGCATGGCTGAGAGAAATATCTTGTGTCTGTGCAGAGCAGGGGGCGGTCGGGCATGGGTTGTTAGGTGGCAGAGTTCTTATTCCCCATCATTGGCATATTTCAATTGCAATTTAAACCGATATCTGAGCATTTTTCTAATCAACCTTTAACCCAATCATTCCTTCCTCCCACTTTAAATTCTAGAGTTGGCTGAGAAGCGTGCGGACTTGTCCCAGCCCATTGTCTTCAAGCAGCGCGTAAAGCAAGCCAACCTCGAGGAGGAGGCTGAGAAAACCAAGCCCAAGAAGAGCAAGAAATCGGATAAGGGAAGCAAGAAATCCAAGGCCACCAGCAGCAGCAGCAAATTGTCATTCAACGAGGACGAAGAGGACAACGAGGGCAGAGAGGATTAAGCTCCAACTCTCAGTTTTCCAATTCGAGCTTCCAGTTACTGTTCAGTTCCAGCCCGGTCCATAGAGGTTGATTAGGTGAGTGTCTAGCAAGAATCTTGACCAAAAATGTGTGAAGTTTCATAGGATAAACAATCTGCATCTAAATTCTTTCATCTGCAATTAAACTGCAAGTGTCATCAATTGATTGATCCTTCCGGGTCTGTTAAAAAGATGACTTGCTATTAGCTAAATATCCCATGAATGCAGATTGTATATTTTATTAGACAGGCAAGAGTCAGGAGCAAGAAAAGGTCACGTGTATGTATAACATAAAATGCTTGTTACCGGGCCATTATAGCGGATAGTTTGAGTCTTTAATGAACCCAGCAGAGAGAGAGTAATAGAGAGGGGGGGGACTACACTACATACAAACATTCAGTCAGTCAGTCAGTCACCATCCTACCAGTTGCCGATCACGGGGGTGGGTCGCGGGTTACTTTCAAATTTTCTACTTGCATATAGACCAAATCGCACACATACACCCCTACTATGCATGTACATATGTATATACGTATGTATGTTTAGCTGTGTACAATGTACATACGCAGATATATATATTTATATATATATATATATATATATATGTACGCATGGGAGCGAAAGAGAGGCAACGTAATCTGAAATAAGTTGGAGAAGAAGAAGCATCAGCAGCGCCAGCAAAAAGTATCGTGATTGAGTTTAAGACGCTATGCATTAGTATAGGTGTATGTGTATATGCTTGTATGTGTGAGTGCTGTGCGGGGGGAGTATTTCCGTCTTGGAGCTGTAACTATTTTCCCCATCATCATCATCATCGTTGGTTTCGCGCGGGCTAATTTCAAATATCTGCACATGCAGAAAGGAGACACAACACGTATAAATCTATCAACCACACCGGGTTGCGACAAGGCAATGCCGTTTCAGTTTTGTTTTGTTCATTTCGTTCGTGGCGCGCGTACAATTGTCAAATTTGTTTTCCCTCCCGACGTACTGTCCATTCACATGGCCCACCAATACACTCACACCTATTGCCATGCGCTTCACACTCCCATTCGCTATTTTAGAGCGCAAAACAGTCTGCTTGTGTGCTCTCACCATTCAGTGCTCTCGGCCGGCATCCAACCCGCCAAAGATGTTTATGTCATCAGCTGGGGTACACAGGTACAGACCTAACGGCAGGGGAACGGCATTAAAATACAAATTAATTAATGAAAACTGAATGGCACTTGTTAAATTTTTCGAAATTCGTCGTAATCGATTTCCGATAGATCGTCCCAGCAACGGTTGCAACCCTGTGCGCGCCCGGCTGTTCTATGCAACTCTGTTTTTGCTTTTTCCGCCTCACACATTTCCAGTTTGCCTTGTTTGTCGTTTTGTGTCGCGCTTTGCCTCGGCGTTCTTTCCATTTTTTTTCTTCACCCCCACGAAAAGAATTTGTGTTGTGTTTGGAAATAAGCTTGCCACAGCGATCATTTTTTAAAGTTGTTGCATATTAAGGGAGTAGCAAGGACAAAAGCAACCTGCCAACAGTGAAATGCAATGTAAATGTAAGTTCGGCTACTTGGCGTGGGCGACGCTACTACCGCACCGTCACAACAAGATGCAGCAGCTGCAAAATGTTGTTGTTGCAGTGCAAAAATTAACTTTGCCCAAAAATCGAATGGTTCTCTTTGCAACGTAGTTTTTGTTCACTAAAAATGTATATATATGTATGTATATATAACATACAAACACCATCATAGAAGTCCGCACACACAACCAAACACACACACAACATATATATATATATATGTAGCCACACACTAGCGCAAAAACACGCTCCTGTACCAAAGTACTCCACCACGCCGCCAAGCCAACCAACAACCAACACCACAAACGTCGTCATCATCGTCTCACCCGGCCATCCCCTCTCCGCCCCGTCCGTCCCTCACCATACGTACCTCCACCAGCCAGCCCAGCCCTCCCTCCCCCTGTCCCGTCATCATCACAGTGTCTGCGTGTCCGTATGTATCTCCACTGAAACATACGTACACACATCCATGCAAACATATATACCGACGTACATACATACTGACGGTTGTATATATAGATTGTACATATGTATGTCCGTATGTTTGTGCGCTCGTTTGTTGGTGTATGTGTGTGTGTGTTTGTGTGTCTGTCTGTATGTATGTCAATCGTTTTGTTGGTTCTGCTCGGTAACTGTTCGTTTGTATGTACATTCATACATACATACACATGTGTATATAAATATGTACTTGTATATAAGTAAATATGTGCATGACATGCCACATAATATATCTATACATAGATATGTGCAACCATTTATGTAAATACTCCGCTGCATATAACGTTTTTTATGTAATTTACATGCATTCATTACATATTAAATTGTATTTTAGTTTTAATCCAATATGGCAGCCATTTTGTATCAATCCATTCTTTGAACTCCCCTTACCTTTCCCTCTCCCTTCCACTTTGCCATCGGCTACCAAACCATACCATACTATCCATCCTCGACTCCGTGTCTCCCCCAATCCCCGCGCCCCCTCCACGCACACACATAGCCATCTCTTTCCCTAACTTGGAATGGGTTTTAATTCACCTAGATTTTCAATTTTTTCGGTGATGGTTATTCTCTCTATCTCTCTCGCCTTCTCCTCTCTTCCTCTTCCGCTGCTTCCTCTCTTTCTGCAGTCTTGGCTCTTTTTGTTGTTGTTGTATTTTTACTCTTTGTGCCGCCCGTTTTGTGCTGCTCTTTCGCTGCCTCCGATACCTTAGTTTTCTTTCATGTGCCAATTTTTCCGGTTCGTCTCAAGAAGAAGCGTTTAAAAGTTATTGCAAATATTTCCTCCGATTTCTGCCGATCTCAACTACAGGAGTTTATTCCCGTACTAAATCGAATTGTTTTAATTTCCTTGCAGAAGCAAAAGATTCAGCGCCAAGATACACCCCGAGACTCAGGCACACATTCCACACACCAGAGAACAGTCAACAAATGACTGAAGTCGATGTCGTCTTGCCGGAGGGCGTGGCAGAGCCCACAACAAAGCTTGCCAGCGCATCAAGTCCGACCAGAGGGAAGACCGACATTGAAGAGAGCTCCACAGAGGCGGTAGAACTGGTCGACGATGAGGAGAAGGCAGAGTCGGAGCCAGAGCCCGAGTCACGAGCCGGTGCTGAACCAGAGCCAGCTGCCAAGGAGGTGGAGGTGTCTTCCGGTGACAAGGAAATCACAAAAGAGGCCGTTGCCGAGGCCTCGCCAGCTCCAGAAGAAGTGATGGATGTGAATGAAACTGAAACCGTAACAGAGGAAGAAGACGGCGAGGACTCTCAGATCACAAGCAGCAGTTCCAAAGAGCCCAAGCTGCCGGACGGTGAGGAAGAGATGGATACAGCGGAGGAGGAAACAGCGGCCACAACCAACGGCGATCATGAGCCAGAGGTTGAGGAAGACGAAGTGGAGAAGATCGGCAGCACAGCTGAGAATAGCTGCGAGGCCGAGGATCCACTGGGAGCAGCCACAATACAGCCCGACACAGAGGAGGAGGAGGCATCGAGCGAAAAGAAAACGGGGCTGGCGGATGAATTGGATGGTGAGGAGAGCAGCCAGCAAAGCGAGACCATCAAGTCAGCCAGCGACGAGGAAGACGACGACGACGAGGAGGAGAGCAGCCGCGGGGAAAAAAAGGAAACGCTGAACGGGTTTGTGGCAAGTCCACAGAGTCCCGCGGCTAAGTCCAGCACCCAAAAGGAGAACGGACAGGCCAGCACTGCGGAGGCTAAGGCAGCGGCTACCAGCAACCACGACATGAGTGTCGTTAATCTGGACGAGGACAGCGACGAGGAAATGGAAGATATGTCAGATCTCAAGGAGCAGCCCGCCAAGCCAGCTTGCACCGAGATGGCAGTGCAGCCGCCGCCTGTTTCGTCTAGCGGTGCCGAGTCTTCAGATGATGCAGTGCTGATACCATCGGACTCTGATTCGGAGGCCGCAGCACCGCCGCCACCCATCAAAAAGAGTCCAGTGGCTGCTGTAGCGCCCAAGCCAGCGCCACCACCTCCGCCGCCTGTGCTGGATGACGATGACGACGACGATGACTGCGTGGTCATTGAGGACGATACGCCGCCAAGTATTTCGATGAGCGGATTGGCTGGCAAGCGGAAGAGCGACCTCCACCTGGACGACATGCACCAGCAGCCGAGCAACAAGAGGCAAAGGAGTAGCACGCCCCTGGGCCTGGGCCAGCTGACCATAAAGGATGCCCGCTCGCTGATGCCACACGAAGCTTCCACGGGGTCCGTGGGACCCAGGGACTCCATCTATCCAGTGACCATAACAAATGCGGCGACTGGGGCGGCCACCAATCTCGGCTTGACGCCGCCCAAGCTGGCGCCCATGTCGGGAAACAACGCGAATCCCCAGCTGAATCCCCCGACCCTGTCCCTCACGGGCCTGCCCAGCATGACCAACAACGCCAATCTCCTGCCAGGACTCACTGACGACATGTTCGTCCTCGAGGCGCCATCGTTCATTGTGCCCTACATCTACGAGAAGCCGCCCCACGAGAACATTCGCGAGGTCATCAGATCCATTGAGACGACGTACGCGCTGTCGCCCGAAGATCTCGCCGAGGCGGTTAAGGGCGACGAGTTCGACATGATGACCGAGCAGAACAAGGAGGTGAAGCCAGCGGACCCCTCCGCCGAGGGCAAGAAGAAAAAGAAGCGCGGAGACGATGAGTCGTGGTCGGAGCAGTCGGATGACGATGACGATGATGAGGACGACGATGACTCGGAGTCCGGGGTGCGCACCAAGGTACTAATCAAGGAGGCCAATGATGACCTGACTGCCCTCAAGGGAGCCATCAAGCCAGCCGCAGCACTGGCGGCCACAGGTGGAGTGGTGCCGGCCACCAATGCGGCAAACAGCGGCAAGCCCGGCCAGGAGAATTACTTTGAGAGTCCGCTGGGCAAGTTCTTCATGGACATTGGCGTGGGTCTCGTGCAGGAGTATGTCCAGGCGGATCTGTTGCGACTACAGAAGCGCAAGATGCGCAAATCGCTCACGCGCGATCCCAAGGACTTTGAGATGGCAATCACCGCGCTGTCGGGCAACCTGCAGGCCTCCAAGACGAAAAACGCACCCTTCAAGTTCACGATGAAGCGCTGCGAGTTCTGCAACTTCAAGTCGGAGTCGGCCCTCTCCATGGCCAACCACTACGAGACGCCGCACATGAACGGCGTGCTGTACAAATGCAATTTCTGCACCTTCGAGATTCGCAATGCCACAGAAATTGTCTACCACATGGAGGCGGTGCACAACATCAAGGCGCGCCTGATCAAGCCACTGCCCTACCACCAGTGCCCCAACTGTGGCTTCGAGGACAACGGCAAGGCCAAGCTGGCACGCCATCAGCCGGTGTGCGCCAAGAAGTTCCGACCGGAATTGAATCTGGCGCCACCCAACGACTGGGAGGCACCCGCCAAGATACCACGAATCAAGCCCAGACATGGGCTTGTGGGCACAGCCACCGCCTATCAGGTAGCGACAAATCTTTATATTATTCCCCATGAATTGTGACTTAAATTTGATTTGTTCTATTTCCAGGCCATGGCTGCACAAGCAGCGGCGCAAAAGGCTGCATTGGCCACCATTCAACAGCAGCAGGCGCAGGCTCAAGCAAGGAATCTGCAGGCGGCTGCCCTGGCCGCGCAGAATGCGGCCAAGATGCGACAACGTGCCCCGCCGCCACCTAAGCCCAATATGGTGCGAAGTCCTCAGACGCCAGTGCGCGGAGCCGTGGCCAATACGGGACTCGCCACAATGCCCAATAGCTACCAGCTGGCCGCGGGACAGCTTGTCCAGGTAAGATAATAAAAACAAACTAAATCACGAGGAATCACAAACTTCTTGTCACTCTCTGCAGCAGGCATCCAAGAAGCCGATGGCAGGACAGCCCAGCATTTCCATAACGCCATTACCTCGCCAAAGTGCGCTCGTCGGTGGTGCGTCGCCCTCGTCCAGCAAGGTGCCGCAAACGGCAGCTGGCATGAAGCCCGGCCAGACGCCCCCAGGCAACAACAAGGCTCAGTTTGTCATCTGCGAGATATGCGATGGCTACATCAAGGATCTGGAACAGCTGCGCAATCACATGCAGTGGATGCACAAAGTGAAGGTAAAGCTGAGTTTCCATTTTCACTGAGTGTTCCAATTGTAACTTGTGAATTTCGTTACACGTTTCGTGTGTGTGCAGATACATCCCAAGATGATCTACAATCGACCGCCACTGAATTGCCAAAAGTGTCAGTTCCGCTTCTTTACGGATCAGGGACTGGAGAGGCATTTGCTGGGCTCCCACGGCTTGGTCACCAGCTCCATGCAGGAGGCGGCCAACAAGGGCAAAGATGCCGGTCGCTGTCCCGTTTGTGGCAGGGTAAGTCTGACTCATTTGTTGTTTTTGATGGGAATTAGTCATAACTAATTGGTGATTCCCCTTTCCCAACGTCGCAGATGTACCAATGGAAGCTGCTGAATCACGTATCGCGCGATCATCACATGACCCTGAAGCCCGCACATTTATCGTACAAGTGCACCGTGTGCACGGCCACCTTTGGGATGTACAAACAGTTCGAAACGCATGTGTACACCGCCCACAGCACGGTGGCCCGCAAGGCGATGGACAGCAAGAAGAGCAGTGCACAGTCCAGTGGCTCCACCTCTGCGTCCATATCGCGTTCCCTGGGTGCTGCCAACGACTCGCTGCTGAAGCCGCTGAAGATCAACGATGAGATCACCATCATACCACAGCCCGCATCGAAGCCACGCATCACAAATATGGAGAGTCATGTTATAGGTGAGTCTGATAGAACTCCCTCATAGATTCCGATACTAATTTATATCCCTCTTTGGTCAAACAGATTAAACAGAGCTGAGTTGGATCAACCAAAAACCTAATCTCGCATAGTTTTCAGCATTGGCAGGCGCTTTACCATTAGGTTTAGTTTTCTAAGGCAGATCTGTGACCTCGTCCACGTTCCCACAACGATGTGTAGCACGGGTCAAATCCATTTAGTTTCGTAAGCCGCAAAGTGTATAAAAGTGTAAGGAAAAACAAGAGTGTTGGTATATAGTAGCCCCCCAAACCGTTCCCTTTCCCTTTGTCCCGGCATAAACTAAAGTAAATTATGATACATTTAAATCTTTCACACACACCAGCTAGCTATCCAGGAGACACTAACTTAAACGATAAATCAGAAGTACTATTGTAATTACGGATTACGGACTATATTTATGCAACGTTTTAGAGTGTGGACTGTGTTGAAGTTGTAGCTACTACTAATATACATATATGATACATATACGATGATACATACACACACAAATACGAGTACATTTAGCTGTAGACTATATATAGTGCATAAATATAACTTAAGCATATATTTCGAAAGTGAAAGATAGCCGCCAGAGCGCATCGTCTGCATGATGACTATGTAAATTAGTTAAAAACTAAACAACTATTTATACGACAAACTTCGAGTATCCAAAATTGTGTGTGTTGCAGAATGTATATACATTTTGAATGGCCCCGACCCGCAACCCTGACCCTATCCATAATTCAATAATACCTGAACCCGTAATAGAGCATGTGTAGACAAGGTGGAGACTCCTTGCAACTGATCTTAGAGACGGAGGTTCAACTCTTTAACTTATATTACTTATTAGAACATAAAGATTAAAGCATATATATATCATCTACCCTAACTCTTAAGATCAATGTACTACAGTTATAAAGCAACAAACAACAACAACAAAACACAACTGAAAATGAGAAAAAGTAAAAGCCTAGTTAATATAAAACGATTATCCAGCAGCCTCAATGCATTGTAAACTGTGAAACTGAAGCTGGAACTGGAACGCGTATAGCCAGCGACACCTGTGGATGCTGAGATTGTGGAGAAATTCGGAGCGGATCCACTCTGCTTCCGTGGTGCCGAGGTGTGAGAAGTGAATGCTTTTAGTGGTCACATGATACATATGAGACATGAGAGAGACCAACCCCCCTCACTCCCTGGACGGATAGACAACGCCAATTACCTAGCACTAATGCGAAATTTATTTTTACTTTACATTAGAAAAGTGAAATAGAAATAGATGGATGTGTGATCATGGCAACTGTTGGCGGCATTTGTGTGAGAGAATGAGTAATGAAGGATATATGTTTGTAACTAGCTATGTTAGCCTAAAGGTATATGGGAGAGCAACGCACTGCATCACGTACTATAGTTTCAGATCCTGTCTAACTGGTAGCCTGATCCTGGTCGACCACTGCCACCTCGTTGTCCGCTGCTGGGTTCACTGGCAGCGACTGGCCTATGCTGCTGCTGGGCGGAAAGAGCTGCGAGGCGTGCGTCAGCTGGGCGAGCGAGTCCTTGTCCAGAACCTGGGGCTTGTCAGCGGCGCTGGTGTTCGATCTGCTCAATTGATAGAAGGCCGTGTCGCTGTGGGTGATGTTCACAATGCTGCCGGTGAGTGGCAGCGTTTCGAGCAGCTCTTGGGGGCTGCTGAATGCGCCAAGGTTCACGGGGGCAATGCCGGTGAGCACCTGACCCGTGACGTTCGTCTGGATGGGCAGGGGTATGTTGCCGAGGTCGATGTGGCTCTTGTTGCTGTGCGTGTCGTAGAAGGTGAGGTCCACACGCTCCTGGCTCTCGAAGCTGGTGTCGTTCTCCCCCACCTCGGTGAGGATGCCAATCTCATAGACAACTGCCTTCACCACGTACCTACGGATGATGGGTAAACGTTAGCCAATCGAGTGGAGTCCCTTTGTGGCTTTGGCTACTTACAGATTCTTGGGCGTATCATTTACACTGGCCCGCAGCTCTTCAATGGTGGCGTTGTCGATGCCCGAGCTGATGTCCAGAACGGGCAGAGAGCAGCTGAAGGCCAACAGCATGCCGAGCACAGCGGCTCCGAGTACAGCCTGGTGGATCTGCATCTTGATCTTGGTTTTGTCGGGGCAAAAGGCGATGGCAAACTGCTAAACGGAAACGACGACTGGGCGACGACTCTGCTGACTCTGGCACTAACTCTGACTCTGGCTCTGGCTCTGGCTCTGTTTCCTCGACTGACTTTTGCGCGTTTAAAGTTAATTAGTGCAGATCCAAGCGCTTTTATAGTCCGCTCAGTCCGACTGCCAGCGGACTGCGGAGAAGCTTCGGACGTCGGACAAGGCGCGATTCCGCGTAATTATCGACATTTGTTAATTGCCCGACAGGTTTGCCACTCCGGGGCTATGGCTATGGCTACGGGCTACAGTTTCTAGGCAGATCAGTCACTGGACTTGGCTTCTGTTTCGAGGCAAAGCCCAAGATGGGAGGGAGGCTGCAGGGCACAGAGGCTGTTATTGTTTTCATCGCCATTGCCCGGGGCCAGACTCTAATTAATTGTGCTCGTTTCGGAGCGTGTCCAAGGGACTGTCCCGTCCCCCGGCTCGTCACCCAGCTGCCTACGCAAATCTCAGCTTGGTGCAAAATCGTCGCCCACTGGAGGAGGCGAGTCGAGTCCAGCGGCATGTTTACTCCTCTCGATATGGACCAAAAATAAGTCCATAAACATTGCACCTCCAATGACGCACTACACTCAGATCGGATTGCATGTGGTCTGGGGACACGCGCCCGTCTGCCAACTCGCTAACATTACGCATACGACACGTCGCTCTCTCTGTCCCTCTCTGCCGTAGGCTGTGTGAAATGCCATAAATGTAAGTGCAATGTGAATGTGAAAGGAATCTTTATGCTGAATCCACAGAATCCACACAAAAAACAAGCAAAAACAAAGAGAAATAAAATAAAACTCTTTTTCACACCAAAGTTAACCGCTTAGAGCCGCCGAAAGCTCGGGCATAACCAGCCCAATCTTGACTTCCATTCATGAGACTGTTAATCACAGATGTCTCCCATCTCTGTCTGAGTTTTCGCTGGATCGTTCTGGCAGTAGACGTGTTGCGGTTTCTGGAACCTTAGGCATGAGATAGCTCGAATGATATGATGGCTCGAGTCGGTGGGCGGCTGAGCGTTTCCCTTGGCCAGTTTTCACCCCAGAAAGGGGTGAACCTTTAGCGGAAAATTTCCGATATTAATTTGCACATTTTGGGATATCTAAAACGGGAGCTCTGTGGCCTGGTGATCTCAGATGAGATACTGGAGAACGAAATGCAAATGCAAACTTTAATTATAATTGCCCCAAAAAGTGCAGTCAGTCGCCTTTCCCCGACAAAGTCTCAGCCTGAAAGATCTGGCAATCAGAAAGCTCTTCCGCTGCTTCAGTTAGCATCCATTTGGCAGCACCCAGCGCGTGTATCAATTGTATATTCTGGGATATATTCTTGTTTATTTTTCCATTCTAACTGAACAAATTTTGTCATTTGCAGAGTGTTGAATTCTGTTTTTATTTTGGAGTTTGGTTTCTGGGAATTGTGACTTTTGTTGATTTGTTTTAGTAAATGTATTAATTGTGTTAATTGCAGCAATTAAGACAATCAACAAAATGTTCATTTGAATATATATTTCGAAAAATTCCTGTCCATGCTTCACTTCTTCACTTCTCTCTCTCTCTCTCGTATATCCTTGGAATAGATTTGAACTAATTGAACTCATTTTTCCAGCAGCGGATGAAGGTTTAATATTTTACCATTAATTTGGTAGACTAACCCCCACGAGCATTACCCTTGAAACAGATCAGAAGAGATTATCGAATCTAGAATGGGTTGCAGGAGAGAGCTGTAGAGCCATTGGGGCACAGGCAGGCACCAAAACGAGTTCGCGGTGGGCGCTGCTCCAAGTGCTAATAAAGCTTAGACGAGCCGCAACTTTCGACGGTGGAAAAACTTTAAAAACCCGCCCGATCGGCGGCTGTAAACTTATTATCGATCTGAACTCCGAGACGAAAGCAGCGCAGCGCAAAGCAAAGCAAAAGCAAATCTCAGACCAGCAGCACCGATTCCATCATGAAGTGCACCCTTTTATCCACAGTGAGTAGACCGAACACAGATGGTTGGAGAGATTGAAGACTATATTCGATCCTCTTTCCCCTCTAGATGCTGGCGACCCTGGTGGTCACGAGTATGGCTGCGCCTTTCCAGCTGAGCGACATCTTCCCAGGCTTTGTGGCCATCGGGCAGCCGCAGGAGAAACAGGAGGTAGTCAAGCGTCATGTGGGGTCGAATCCTGATGGCGAGCTCAAGCAGATCTCGTTCAATGGCCTGATTGGGGACCTGGAGGACAGCCTGTTCCAGTCTGCGCTGAGCCTGCACTCGGCCAGTGCCCCAGACAGCGAGGTGGAGGAGGTGAATCCCGGCCCGGAGGAGACCGGTGACGAGCTGGTACATGCTCTGACCAAGCGCTCGGACGATTCCACGCCGGCCACGGACAGTGCCTCCACCGACGATGGTCTGGCACGCAAGATTCTGCTGCAGACAACCCGCAAGGTGCCTGGAGATGAGGATGGTCTGCCCGCCCACCTGATCATCGATCATGTCTCCGTGCAGCCACACAATGGCGGCGTTCTGCCACTGATTCCCACCTTCCAGGTGCACCACACCAAGCTGATCTCGGCCACCATCAAGGAGGACTCGAAGAATGACAGCAGCGATGGCAAACAGACCAAGATCAGCATCACCAAGACCTCAATCACCTCGACAGCACCACTCGAGAGCCTGGAGGAGGCCGTAGCCAGCGCTAGTTCCAGTACGAGCTCTAGCGTAGCTCCCACAACTCCCACCACTGAGGGCACCACAACGGTTGAAACCACAAAGACCACAGAGGAGAAGGAGGAAAAGAAGAGCTCCAGCAGCAGCAGCAGCAGCAGCAGCAGCACAGAATCGTCATCCACCACGTCTGCTGCCACCACAGAGGAACCCATTCAAAAGCTGAAGAAGGACGAGGAGAAACTCAAGGAGAAGGTGGCCGAAGTGGAGGCCGATCCCGTGATTCTCTCGTCTCGCGTGTAGGACACTCTTGATCCCATGGATCCATCCATCTAGTTGTAGTCCATCTCCAGCATTGCCTCCGCCCTCTCTCTCTCTCATACATATTTATGACACTCGACTCGAAGTTCGATTAAAGTTAAAGTCATGTGATTTTGATCCGATTTGCATATCCAATTCACACACAGCAAAAACTCTCGCACGCTCCACCACGGTGGAGGGGGTATTCTGCCAAATTTGAGATGCTAATTGTTGGCCTAAACAATGATGCATCAGCGATACTCCGCCACAGCGACTCACTGAAGCATGAAGTTTGGGGATGGGCTGGGCGCCGAGCGCCGGGCGAACCTTCCCAGAATCGCAGAAATCGCACGGGAAGCACCTCGCGTAGATGTGCAAATAAAATGCAAATACTCGGAAGATGTGCCACTCAATTGGGTTAATTAAATATTGTGAAATTGTGTGGGGCGTGTACTCCCACTGTGGTCGAGTGGGGTGTTAATTGGGATGACCAACTGAGATTAAAAACTACTCGAAAACTGAAGCGAGATTCATCCAGATTCATTCAGCAATTGCAAACACTCAGAGAGAGAGAGAGAGAGAAGAATGCACAGGTGAAATCTATTATCAGTTGCAGGTACATAATATAGAAGACACTCATCAAAGGCATTTGTATATCAAAACACACACACGGGTACACAAGTGCTCGAGTGCTATAAACAATTTGGCTGATGATTCTTCCCCATGAGTCATCCACTTTTGCCTCTGCCTCTGCCGCTGCTGTAAACACGCTTGTATTGGGTTTTAAAATTGATAATGAAAACCCCAACTGCTATCCAGTGGCAGTTGCTTGAGAGCACGAACCATTCCGCATGACCAAATGACCAATGAGGAGTGGGAGTTCCGCCTCTAGTTTATTTACTTATGTAGCTCCCCGCTTTATGCGTAGAACTCTCTCTGTGTGTGTCTGCTGCGAGTACAAGTAATAACATGGCAAAAGATAAAGTAAACAATTTATATGTCTGGTTGCTGATAAGGAGACCCTCTTCGCACGCATTCAATTTGTATTACAAAATCAGTGTGCGCGGTGTGTGGCGTGGGGCTCAATATTTGCACTCTGCAATTGGGCAAGGAGTACGTCCGTCCCTCCACAGAGACAATGGGAGATAGAGAGACAGGGATTCCGTACCTCTGCCCCTGCTGGTTTTTGCTGGCGTTTTGATAACAGGTGTAACCCTTAAAATTTCATTAGGTTTATCTTATCAATGTCGAAGAGAGAAATAGAGAGAGAAGCAAAGCAAAAGAACGACACGGTGGGTGCCGTCGATGGCCATTCAATTGAAGGCTCATTCAGTCCGCAGGAAGCAGCCGGCGAACGCGTATCGCCGCAGAACCTCAGTCCCCAGGCCAGAGCTCCAACCAGAGCAGTGCGAAAACTCTATCGGTGAGGAAGATAACACTAAACATAGCGTTGGTTTATTTTCCATAGGCTTAGTTTATGGACATTTGCTTGTGCTGCGTGTCTTGGCTGGTGATTCAGCGAGTAATCGGCGGGGAAAAGTGATTTGTTTCTGATCAACGTGGAGCAAAGGAAAATGAATGCTCTGAAGAATGATTGAAAAGCATTTCCACACTCATTCCCATATGCAAAAATCCCTCGAAACTAATCAACTTGATTAGATATCAAGTGTGACGCATTGTATCATAATTTCTAATTGAATTTACAGCCCCGAGGTGTGCGTTCTTATCGCCCCACAGAGGTTGCACAATCCCCCAGAAGAAGTCAGGAAAGCGGTTCGGATTCCACTAGCAGCAAAACAAATTCTACCCCAAGCCCAACAAGATGGCAGCCATGGGCAATGGCTTTGCCAAGTGCTTCATCCTCTTCATGGCTATTGTCATATTGGTAAGTCTCTGTCCCAACTGTTTCCACGCTTTAATCTTATCTTGGCGTAACCGTAATGCCGTCTTGTAGGTTCAGGGAGTCGTCTATCTGGGCCTGTCCATTTGGGGCATTACCTTCCGCGAGTGCCATGATGTGGAGGAGTTTAGCACGAATCCCTTCAAGTTTGCCATGGAATTGATCTACTTCTCAGGTAAGATCGCAAGACAACAAAGTTCCTGCATCGTAATGGCATCCTCCACTTTGCCCGAACAGAAAAGGAATGTGGCGATCCAGAGATAATGATAAACAGCCAGAAAATTACGCTGGAAATGGACTGGCCAAAGTCGTACCAAGTGACGCACAGGGAGTACATCTTCATGATCACCTATGCGGTGGTCAGTGGCGTTTGGATAGCCACCTCCTTGTTGATCATCTTCACGCTGTGCAGTCGCACCACAAAGCTCATCGCTGGTGCCGCCTACTGGCCCTGGTTCCTGGCCGTCATTGCTGGCAGCATCCTGGATGTGGTGGCCACCGTCTATCACGGCATTGATCTCAGCCACACGATGGTAAGCTGCAGTTGGGATACACAAAAACAGATTAAACGTTGAATTTATTCCTCCTTGGCAGTCGCTGAATGATGCCTTCGATTATATTGGAGCTCAAGTGGATCCGACCACGGAATCCACTGCGGTGGAGGTTATCAATTCGATTCTGGAGCCATTCGGTGTCTACTTCTCGACGCCTTCGATTCTGCTGCTGTGCCTCAGCTGCCGCTTGGTGCTCATCTGGCTGCTGAACATCATTGGCGCCAGCTTCTGTCTGTCCATTTCAGGAATTATGGCGCGGAATAACTCCAAAGCGGCTGCTGCGACCACAAGCCAGGCACCGACGCGTCAGCCCACACCTCTGCCCGTGGCCGCAGCCGTGGTGGTGGAGACCATCGAGCCAGAGCCTCAGCAGGAGTACCAAGTGGAGACGCAGTACCCGGAACAGATCCGCCCCAAGCCGCTGCCCATCTTCGTTCCCTCGGAGCAGATGCAGCGCCAGGACTCGCAGCAGTACAGAGCCGGAGATCGTACCACATTGCAGTCGCCAGTGATGGTGCTGCCACCGCAACAGCCACAGCAGCAGCAGCAGCAGCAGCAGGAGCCATCAGCTCCACAGCAGACACCGCCACGAGAGATGGCGCCGGATATCAACACTTATCGCACCACCGAGGCTCATCCTGATCGCCTCAACTATCCACCCGTGGAGTCTTCACTGCCGCGTGCCGCCTCTCCAGCAGTGCAGCAGCTGGCAGTCAATTCGGCGCTCAACAATCGCTACAGCGAGATGTATCCAGCGCAGCCGGCCAATCCGCGAGTGAGCGAGGAGCTGCGCAATCAGATGCCCTGGTCGTACACGAGCATGGTGACAAAGCCACCGCCGCCACCGCGCAAGCCCCAGCTGCAGGTCCAGATCTATCCGCAGATACCAGAGCCCGACTACGCGGAGCACTAGACCGAGCGGAGGGAGCAGCTCAAAGCTGATTGAGGATTAATCAGCCTGGATGCGTGACGCTGTTGTGACTTGTTTTGTGTTATTGTTACCTTTATTACATAAAGCTAAAGCTGATGGCCAATGGATTGACTTATCCTCGACTCTTCCACTTCCCGCACTCTCCCTGCCAGCAGGCTCTTCTTTTGCCGACTATGCTCCGCCACCAGTTTGAGGGCTTCGCTTATGTCCAGTTCCAGCTTCTCGCCGCCGCTCACGTGCAGCTCCAGCTTGGGTGCCTCCTGCTGCACAGCCCGCGCGCCCACCACTATCGTGAGCGGGTGGCCCAGTCGCTTGGCGTCCAGCAAACGTTTGCCAATTGTCAGCTCCTTGCGGTCGTCGTGCAGCAACTCCTGGGCCCCGCAGATCTGTCCTAAGTGCTGCAGCAGCTCGTTCTCCACAGCCTCCGCGGGCTGTTGCTCTTTGCTGCCTTGCTTTGGTCCAATCAGGCAGACATCGTAGGGAGCCAGCAGCTTGGGCCAGCGAAGCTCCTGATCGGTGGACAGCACTTCCAGGGCGGAGGCGAGTACGCGCGTAATGCCAATGCCGTAGCACCCCATCACCAGCGACTGCGGCTTGCCCGAGGTGTTTAGATACGTGGCGCCCAGCGGCTTTGAGTACTTCTCGCCGAGCAAAAAGGTGTGCGCCACCTCGACGCCACGTACTTGACTGAGCTGCGAGCTCCGACAGTTGGGACACTCTGTGGTGGCAGAGTCCAGCACCTCTGCGTTCCCGGCAAAGCCGCAGGCGCTGCATTGCATCAGTGTGTCCTCACCCACCGGCGACACATAGTGATACTCGTGGGACAGGCTGCCACCCATCATGCCCGTAGCAGCATTCACTAAAAGATCAATTGATTTATGGCTGTAAATTCCTGTTGGCTTACGCACCTTTAACAAAGGGCACCTCTAGCTGCTTGAACAGGCGATCATAGGCAGCGCTAACCCGGGAGTACGTGTCCCTGGCAGTCTCCTCTGAGACATCGAATGTGTACATATCCTTCATGAGGAACTCCTTGGCTCGCATCAGGCCAAAGCGTGACTTCAGCTCATCCCTGAACTTGGGTCCAATTTGGTAAAGGCGCAGCGGCAACTGGCGATAAGAAATGGGTGCCGTCGTGGCCACCATGGCAGTCACCGCTTCCTCGTGGGTCTATTGGTTGGATGTAATGAGTTTATAAACAAAAGTAAACCATCCCATCATGTATTCACGCACTGGACTCATGAGAAACTGCTTGCCGCTGCGGTCCCGCACCATATAGAACTCTGATATGTCGCCCTCCAGTCGTCCCGTCTTCTTCCACAGGCCTGTGGGTGTTAGAATCGGAAGACTGATCTTTTGGCCTCCAGCTCGCTGCATATTGCCGTCAACCAAGCCAATTAACTTTTCCACCGATCGCTGGGCAATGGGCATGATTTGGTAGGTGCCATTGCTGCCCGATTTGACCAGGCCCAATTCGGTCAGAAGCTAAAAACAAGAGAACTCTTGGCTGGAAATTCTTTCGTAACACAATTGATGATGGAAATACCTTTTGACTTCGCGACAGTTGTTCCGTTTGCTTTACGACGGCATTTTTGGGAGTGACCAGCACTGGCCAGAAGAGTCGCGAGGCTTTATTCATGTTTTTAACAATTGTCAAGGTTTGTATTGGATTGTATTCTCTTTAAAATGCCGGTAAAAATGCAAAATTACAAAGTGACCAGCTGTTATCATCAGCGATAACAATGCGATAACGAAAACTATCGATAGGTGACAGTGGTAGAAAAACATTTAAATTAGCTTTGATATTACTATATAAATGCAATTAACGAACAATTTAATGCTCGAAATGCGAAACTACTTGCTTTTCTTTCCTTGTCTTTTCAAGGAATTTAAAGGAGATTCCATTCAAAATACCCGCGGAAACACTATATATTTAAATATCGCCCATCTCTAGCCGGCATACACACTACCACCACTAGCTGAAGAAATAGGTAAAAAATGTGCTCGAATTACCAAGATTTATATAAAAAGGGGCTGGATCGCGGCGAACAGCAGAAGCGGCGACAAGAAGAGCTGTTGAAGGAACAAAAGCGGAGACGACAACAGGGCCAAGACGAAGCCCGGCCCGTAAAAAAGACTGAAAAAGCCCCGCCAAAACATCATCGCAAGCAGCGTGCCAACGACAAGGCATCGCCGTTCAGACTACAGCTATCCGAGTGGCTGCGGCACAAACCGGATAATCTCGGGGAGTGGTTGCTGGTGCCGTGCCCGGTCGGCAGGAGATGCATGGTCATAGCCACCAATGGCAAGACCAAAGTGTACAACAAGGCAGGAAGGGAGTTCATGAAGCTGCGCACGCTGCTGCCCGGTGATGGTCATGTGCAGAAGTGCAGAACGGTCCTGGACTGTGTGTACGACGAAGAAACGCAAACCTTCCACGTGCTGGATGCCCTATCCTTTGGACAGCAATCGCTGCAGGACTGCGAGGCATCCTTTCGGTTCTATTGGCTGCGAGCGCGTTTCGAGGAGGAAGATTATGCACAGAAGGGCGATCGCAACAATAAATCCTTTGTGTTGCTGAATCACTATGACTTCGAAGACGCTTCTGCGATAGAGGAGATCCTCCAAAAGTACCCCATCTGGCATGAGAATCAACCCAAACTGGATGGATTCCTGTTTTACCACAAGGAGGCCAGCTACGTGTGTGGCACGACGCCACTGGTTTGCTGGCTGTTCTCCTACATGATGCCGGATGTGGTGGACTTACCAGTAAACGGCAACTATGTGGCCCCCGAGGAATACCAGCCCAGGCTTGTGCTTCAGTACATGGAAGAGTTCGACGAAAAGTTGAAGCAGCTAAGAAAGCAGCGGCCCAAAGAGACTGCGAAGAAATCAAAGAAAAAGAAGGAGGAGGAACCCCAGACCTCCATGGAGACAAACAAGGAGGAGGACGGTGACAGCGACGAATATGCCGGCCTCAAGTCGCTCCTCGACCACCAGCGCCGGCTGGAACTGGGAGAGCTGGATATGGACTGTGAAGAGACGCCGTCAGCTGTTGACTGTTGAGCGGGCGATGGTGTGGGCTTTGGTGGTGGCTTTCCTGCGACTGCGCACTAGCTACGCGGCCCTGGGACTCAGCCTAGCTCCCGCCCAGGGAAAAAATGTAGTCAAAGCCAAAGATTTAGGTTCGCTCCTTGAACTGTCAGCATTTCAATTAAACCTTTTTGACAAGTATAACACCAAATATGGTCATTCAGCGCAGCTGGAAAATTCCCACTGATGTGGGAGGATCGTTAACGAACTCAACGACAACCGCAAGCGATGTGCAGCAACGTTCTTCCCCGGCAATGCAACTGCAGGCAGGCAACTCCTCCGATGACTCCGACTGCTCCAACCAGACCACACACTCGATGGATACACGCGTCGCCAGCCCCGCAGAAGGCGCAAAAAAGCAACCGGATAAAGAAAAGCAACCATCGGAAGCCTCCACCACACTCACTTTATCCCTGCTCGCCGAGCTACCATCCACGGATGCAGAGCCTCTGGTAAATAAAAATGCACTTCAATGGGAAATCATAAATTCAAAGAAACATTTTGTGTGCTCCCTGTAGAAATATGTGACCACCTCGGACATGGCCGAGACGATGCTGCAGCGAATACGCCAGCGTCTGGGCGGTTCGCAGAACATCGAAGGCGGTGGGAGTGCAGAGTCTGCCATGAGAGCGCTGGAGCTACTGCGCATCAGCGTGCAGCAGTCCTTTGATTCGGAAGTCAATGAGATAATCAAACGCTACATGAATGTAGGATACGTGGACTGGTGTGGCTATGAACTGGCGACTCATTCTCTTTGTTTTTTGTAGAACTACTTTAAGCCCGCATTTGGAAACATCAAGGAGAACCTCGGTCAGCAGTCGGTGAACGAGGAGACGCTGCAAAAGATGTCCTCGTGTGCGTTGCTGGAGAACGCCAAGGCGCAGTACACGAACTTTGTGCGCCAGCATCGCCTGGGCGCCGGAGTGACGGAGCAACAGCGCCTGGCCCTGAAGCGTGTGGCCAAGCCGCAGGACAACACCATCGGCAGCAAAGTGTTTGCCAACAATCTGGGCTTTGCCGCCGCCAAGCCCATGCCCTGCACAGCTGCCACAGTGAATCAGATGCCCGCTCTGCAGGCAATGCAGATGTTTCCGCAACAGGCACAACTGCAGGCTGTCCAGCCACTCCAACAGCAGCAGCAGCAGCATCGCATGGTCACTCCGATATTGGGCGGAGCATTGCCCACGCCTGTGCGTCGCCAAATCTTTTGGAACACGGCCCAAATCTCGACGAGCACAAAATTCGTGCTGGATGTGCAGGCCAATCTGGCTTTTGGCTTTGGCACCGATGGCAAGGAGAGATTGGCCAGCAAGCACCCGGAACTCATACGCTATCTCCCCGATGCCGAGGACAGAGAGTGGCTGGCAGCCCGAGGCATTATTCCCGCCGAGAGTACCCACTTGAGGTTCCTCTTTCTGCTCCACGACGAGGTCTGCCGGCTGCACCAAGCGCACGATCTGTACAAGAACAAACCCAACGTGGATCTCACCCTGATGATGACTTTCAACGTGCCGGACCCCATGATACACAAGATGCGGCTCTTCTTTGTGGATCTTAACATCAAGAGCCGAGGGCTGATAACCAACTCATTTATCATGACCAATCAGCCGCAGCCACAGCCCCAGCAGCCCACGGTGGCAAATAATAGTCATCTGAGGAACGCGCTGCTTCAAGGAGCATTGCCACAGCCGCAACAAGAGCAGCAGCAGCCGCAACTGACAACTGGAACGCTGCCCGTTGAGGAGTCGATACTGAAGGAGCTGCCAGCTGCATCGCCGACGCCATGCCTGCAGGGACAGATTGTGGGGAGCACTACGACGCCCCTCAAGGCCAAGCTGGTCCCAGGTTCCACTCTGAGCTCTTCCCATGCAACACTCACCGCACTGCTGAACAATGGTGGAACGGGAGTGGCAGTCGGAGTAGGAGGAGCACCCGCTGTCAATACTGCGCCAAGTGCCACCGGGAAACTAAGGAATTAATCTTAACTAAGCATTCACATATTTCTCTAGGCAGATATTTTAAGTTATATTCCATATGAGCTCTCAATAAAATATCCTTTTAGGTAGAATAACAAAATTTTACAAATAAAATTACTGTTTTTTTGTTGCACAGTGTACATTCCGGTACTTGTTGCATTGTGTCAAAAGCTGGTTGCTATGCCACTGTGCCAGTGACATGGTGGCGAGGTTTTGTCAGAGAGCAGTCGGTGTGCGGAGAAATTTAGATGTTTGACTGTGGATGTCCTTGTTGAAGGATCAAGGATAATTGTCTGCTCTCAGGATGCCATCACCCGCCCTGATCGGCCGAAACAAAACAGAGAAAACAAGATTTTTATGACAGTGAAAAATGTCCTTGATCCTTGGTCCTTGAAAAGGACTCCATCTCGTCAAGGACATTGTCCCGCTCACAGGAAGCCGTCGCACGTCCTGATCGGCCAACAAGGAGCGGAGAAAACAACAAAACTGTGTTTACCTGTTGTTGTTGTCGATTTATGTTGTTGTTTGTTGTACAACAAAAATCCATTGGTTGTACAACAATAGCAAAAACCACTTTTGTTGTACAACAAGTATATTTTTGTTGGGCAATAATAACAAAAACAACCTTTGTTGTACAACAATGAGTTTTTTGTTGTACAACAATATGGTCTGACAACAACAAGAGGGAATTTTGTTTTCTTAATTTCTCCGCTCTTTGAGGTCCGATCAGGATGTGCAATGTATCCTCATAATTGGGAGAAAGTCCCCGATCCTTTGACAGCAAGGACGATAAGGATATTTTCTTGGGAAGGCTAAAAAACGGCTCTTTATTTTCTATATTTTATTTAATCATTGCGGGCCACGGCTTTATGTGATCGGAGAAAAAATTGCAGCCAGCCGAGCGGTAGGGTCTCCCGTATTCTTTGAATCCATCAAGGCATCAAATAGGACAAGGATATGCCTTTTTAAGGATATTGTGCAGCAGACATAACTTCAGCCCGAAAGTATGGCACGCTTTTGAAATCCAGGCCAGCCCAAAAGTATGCTATGTGGTTTGTCACTTTTTGCGCTGCTTCCATAAGTTTCCATTGCTACCCTTTGACTGCCTGTCCCTGTTTCGACCCATTCCAATAAAAATCCTTTAGAATAATTAATTCATGTTATTTATTTGTGTTATATCTATTTCAACTGCCTGGCGGTATTCAATAGGCATGCAATTTCCATTAATTCGTGTACAGAAAACAGTCCGAAACTATAAAAACTGACGCTGTGGCTGCCAAATCGTACAAAAAACCAAATTGTTAACTGTTTATACGTTGTTTTCTCTTTCTCTTTTGCTTTCGCTCCTGCTCTCACACCGATCTAAAGGGAAGTGGACGCCCAGGCCGAGTGCGCGCAGGCACTGGCCAGACGTTAACAAAAATATTGCTAAAACCGATCTACGTAGAAACAAAATCATACAAAAATCTATAAATTTATACTCGCTGCTGGCCTCACTTGCCCCCAAAGCCGCCCATCAGGTTCCCCAGTCCACCCAGGCCGCCCGCCGCTCCTTGCTGCAGCTGCCGCATCATGTTCTGGAGTCCTCCCACGCCGCCCATCTGCTGCAGCATGCGGGGATCGATCATCTTGGCCATCTGCTGGTTGAGCTTGGCCATCTGTGTGGGATTTACATTCTTGGTCATGTCGCCCTGCTTGAAGAGACCCTTGACGCCGCCCATTTTCTTCACGACTGCCGCAAACTTTGTGTAGTGGGCAATCAGCTCCTTGACCTCGCGCTCGAGGACTCCTGCTCCTTGCGCCACACGTATGCAGCGCGTGGGCTGCTTGCTGAAGAGCTTGGCGCCGTCACGGTTGTCCAGTTCGTTGTCCGACATACTGTCCATCATGGTCATCATTCGCTTGATGCGAGCCATCGACTCCGCCTCGCCGCCCTTGGTCATGAAGTCCTGCGAGAAGCCGGGGATCATGTTCATGATCTGCGAGAAGGGTCCCATTTTCATGATGTTCTGGAACTGCTCGTACATGTCGCGAATCGTGAAATGGCCATGCTTAATCTTCTCGAGGAGCTCCTCGTTTCCGTCCAGTTTCAGCTCGTTAACCTGCAAAGGATTGCTTTGTAGTTTATCCACTTAGAGGACGCGCTAATTCTTACCTTATCTATCAGGCCCTCGATGTCGCCCATGCCGAGGAGCTTGCTGACGAAGGGTTTCGTCTTGAAGGGTTCCAGGTCGTCAATGTGCTCGCCTGTGCCTATGAAGATGATGGGCGACTGTGTGGCCGCCACAGCAGACAGGGCACCACCTCCCTTGGCGTGGCCATCCAGCTTCGTGATGATCACTGAGCCAATGTCCACCTTCTCTTTGAAAGCCTTCGCCTGGGCCTCGCAGGCTTGTCCAATGGTGGCGTCCATCACGAAGATGATGTTGTCAGGGTTCACTGCGTTTGCCACCGCCAACATCTCCTCGAAGAGCGACTCCTCCTGTTTGTGTCGTCCGGAAGTATCCACAATGATCATCTCAAATCCCTCGCGCTTGAACATGTCCACACCCTCCTGGGCTATGACGACGGGATCGATTTCTGTGTAGCTGCCGTAGAACGGAATGCGAGCCTTGGTGGCGTTCTGCTTGATCTGGTCGTAGGCGCCAGCACGGAACGTATCCGCGCACACCAGGCACGACTTCCAGTTGCGCTTCTGGTAGTGATAGGCTAGCTTGGTGCACGTTGTGGTCTTGCCGGATCCCTGCAGTCCCACAAACATGATAATGTTCGCCTTTCCCTTGATGGGCTGATACGGCTTCACGCCTGGATCCACCAGTTTGATGAGCTCCTTGAACACCGCCGACTGGATCATGCGTCGCTTGTTCAGGCCCCCGGCCATCTCGTCAAAGTCAATGACGGCTCGCACATTCTCGCGCAGCTGCTTTACCAGTCGTATGTTTACATCAGCCTCCAGCAAAGCTGCGCAAATCTCTTTCAGCATGGAATTCAGGGCCTCCTCATTGATAACTGTGGCTTTGCTCAGCGAGTGCAGCGCCGTCGTTATTTTCCGTCCTAGATCTGCTAAAACCATTTTGGCGTGTTGGCTGTGTGTCGGGGTGTGCTATTGGCAGCTTAAAAACGTAGGTGAGCTTCTCGCGAAGCAATTACATGCGAAAAATACAGAAAACTTTTACTTTTTGGACACGTTGTTACAGTGTGACCGCGAAATTATCAATAAAATATACCCTCAGACCATCGAAAATATACCGAAATATACCCTTGCATTTTCAAAATATACTGTAAATATCAACCGGGAAAATTCGTGGTGACTGGCAAATACTTTGAATTTAAACTTTGTTTTGGTTTTGTTTATGGATATTGATCTATGGGTGTTAAGGAACTTTGGACAGTATTAACTCCACATGCTGAGCGCAAGCCGATTAATGAGCTGCGCGGCAAGAAAGTGGCCATTGACTTGGCCGGCTGGGTGTGCGAGAGCCTCAATGTGGTGGACTACTTTGTGCATCCGCGGCATCATTTAAAGTTGGTTAAACTCTGCTAAAACACTTGCACCAGTGGCTAATGTACACTTTTCAGAAACCTTTTCTTTCGCACTTGCTACCTTATATGGGAGCAGGTCACTCCGGTGTTTGTGCTGGAGGGAGTGGCCCCGAAACTGAAGGGCCAAGTGATTGCCAAGCGAAATGAGCTGCAATTTCGCGGAGTGCGACCCAAGGAGGCGGCCACCAGCACGCAGCAAGCTGCAGCAAAAGGAGACAAAGGACGCACTCGCTTCAACCATGTGCTAAAACAATGCGAAACGCTGCTGCTCTCCATGGGCATCCAGTGTGTCCAGGGCCCAGGTGAAGCGGAGGCCTACGGCGCCTTCCTCAACAAGCATGGAGTAAGTTTTGGTCTCTGTTGTCCCAAATCAAAAGTATATTGGGAACTCTTGCAGCTGGTTGATGGCGTCATTAGTCAGGACTCGGATTGCTTTGCATACGGCGCCATTCGGGTGTATCGCAACTTCTCAGTGTCCACGCAGGGAGCCCAGGCAGCCGCCGGTGGCGCTGTGGATATCTATGACATGCGGGAGATTACGAGCCGCATGGATTTTGGCCAGCACAAGATAATTGTGATGGCTCTGCTCTGCGGCTGTGACTACTGTCCAGACGGCATTGGTGGCATTGGCAGGGATGGTGTCCTGAAGCTCTTCAACAAGTACAAGGAAACGGAGATCCTCGATCGGTAAAAACTGACCAAGAAGGGAAGTTCCAGCCAGATTCACATTTCATTCTCCTTGTAGGCTGAGAAGCTGGCGAGGCGAGACGGATAAATACAATGCTCTGGAGATGCGGGTGGACGATAAATCGATTTGCAGCAACTGCGGACACATTGGACGCACGCAGAGCCACACCAAGAGCGGCTGCAGCGTCTGTCGCACGCATCGGGGATGTGACGAGTCCCTGTGGAAGTAAGCAACCGATCCCAAATGGCAATATTCGATTGTTGCTTACACTTTCTTTGCAGGGAACAAAGACTTTCCATTAAGGCTGAGCTGATGCTGCGCAGGAAGGCTTTGCTGTCCGAAGAGTTTCCCAACGAGGAAATCATTTCCGAGTTTCTCAGTGAGCCGCCAACGATCCCGCAGCTAGAACTTGGCTGGCGGCAGCCGAATCTTGTCAAGTTCATCAAGCAGATTGGACATCTGCTGCAGTGGCCAGAAATCTATTGCTTTCAGAAGTTCTTTCCGATTCTCACCCGCTGGCAGGTGCAGCAGAGAGGAGGGCGAGTGGAGCTCGTTCAGCCGCTGGAGATCGTCAAGAAGCGCACGGTGAAGGGAGTGGCCAGTCTGGAGCTGCGTTGGCAGGATCCCAGTGGCAGCTTCAAAGGCCTCATTCCAGACAAACAGATCTCCGAATTCGAACTGGAGCATCCGAAGGGAATCGAAGAGCTCTACTACACCGTGGAGCCGTTGGACATGCTGGAAGCTGCGTATCCCGATTTGGTGGCAGCCTTTTTCAAGTCCAAAGAGAAGCCACCCAAGAAGGCAACGCGAAAGAAGAAAACAGAGCCGCTCAGCGCCATTGAGAATATCCCAGAAGCAGGCAAGGAGAAGGCGAAACCAAAGCGTGTGGCCAAGAAGAAAAAAGCTGCCACGGAGCAGGCCCAGCCGTCACTGCAGCAATTCCTTAGACGGGAGAGAATTGGGGGGAATCCTCCGCAACAACTGCCACAGCAATGCTCCACGCCCATCACCAAATGCCTGCCCTCCGATCTCGAAAGCGATTGTGATGCGGAAGAGTTTGACATGTCGGATATAGTCAATGGAATCATTTCGAATCCTAATGCTCAGCCAGCTGTCACGAAGCACGGGGGAAGGCAGCTGCACTACGAGGCCTTATCCGATGATCTGAGCATGCGTCTGGCTCAGCTGAGTCTGACCAAGGAGGAGCCAGCAGCTGCAGCAGCAGATCACAAAAGAGATCTCTCGCTGGTCGAGCATCTGCCGCAGAGCAAGCGGCTCTCTCTGGATGACAGCTTTGATTTGCTGGTGAAGGGTGATCTGAAGAAGGTCTCACACTTAATCAGGACACCTGTGGATCGCTTCAAGCATCAGCATCGCCTGAGTGGGCAGCCTGCCGTCGAGCCATCGCCTGCCAATGTGAGTTACTTCTTCAATCAGAGCAGCGATAATGCCGATGCCTTTGAGCAGCTGATGAACTCCAGCCTGGGTGGGCCACAGCAACACGAAGAAGAGGATGAGGATGAAGATGAAGATGAAGACCTCGTGGTGATCAGTGATTAAGTTTACAGCTTAAAGTTTGCGATTTATTCGCTCTTTACAAAATAAAACTTCTCCTCTCGCCAGGGCAAACTTTGAGCCTGCGCTTTGGTGGAGGATAATCACAACTTGAAATAATTCTTGGCATACTGATGGGCCTTGGCCAGGGCCTGCTCCAACTGCTCCTCAAAGAGATTGCTTACCTTGCGGCCCTTCATGTTGCACACGAACTGCGGGTTCTGGCCCTTGGGCGCGGCCACCTGACCCCCGAATGTGTCGGCAAAGGACTGCAGCCACGTGGAGGCATCGAACTGCTGGCTGACGCTACTCTGCGGCACACAGCAGCGAGCCTTCACGACGCTGTCACACATGCTGACCACCAGAATGGGGCGATCCGAACAGAGTTTGGTGGCACGCTGCAGCGGGATCTCCTCCACCAGAGCGGAGCTGGTGATGTAGTGCAAGATAAAGGGATGGCTGTCCACGGGCTTCTCCTGCAGCAGGTTGCGCATCTCCACCTCGACAAATTCCCTGCAAGAACGGGAAGTTATAATCTGGATAACGGGGGAAATCTCTCGCCATTCGCTCTCACTTAAGGGTTGTGCGGGATGTCTCCTTGATCCGCTTTAGCATGTCGTGGATGCGTTCCAGCGTGTCCATTTTGAAGGCATATGGCAGCTTGATGTCCGTGTGCAGCATATTGTGGCGGATGGTCTGCAACTCCACTTCGGTGGCATTTGTGAGCTTGTCTGGCTGCAGCTGCTGCTCGAGGAGATCCACGCGATGGCGCAGCAGGGCAGCGGTTTTGAGCACCTAGGGGGGGAGATGCGACATAGGAGTATGCTCAGTGGATAAGCTCAAGTTACTCACATTCTCCGCCGCTTGGCCAGCCACAGCGGTGAAGGCGAAGCGCGCTCTGTTCGTCTGCTTTAGATTGACAATGCAGAAGCAGGAGAGCTCGCTGGTGTTGGTCACATGAGTGCCACAGCACAGCTCCTTGGAGCTGAGCTGCATCTCCGGGCATTGCACATTGATCAGCCGCAGTCCCTGCTCCGGGTACACCTCCCCGGGCACCATCGTAATATCATTCTGCTGCAGCACATCGCCGGCACTCAGCAGCTCCACGTGGACGGGCGTGGCAGCGCAGATTATGCGACTGCAAAACAGAAAATAGAGCCAGAAGTTACACTTAATGGGAGTCCACTTACTTGATCAGATCCTCGATGAGCTGCACATCTTCTTTTTGTATCCGCTTGCCCAGCAGTCCCAGCTCCAGCTTGCACTGCTCGCTGCTCACGGAGCTGGACACCTGATAGGTGACTTTGTTGAACAGCGATCGAATGGCAGCGTTCAGCAGGTGCGTGGCCGTGTGATGGCATGTGTTCAGCTGCCTCGTGCTGGCGTCGACTTGCAGCTCAACCTCATCGCCAATGGCCAACCCAAAGTCGTCAGTGGGTGCGGCCAGGCGGCAGACATGAACCACGCAATCGTTGAGCTGCTTCACGCGGATCACGTTCAACAGATGCGGCGGCTGCTCTGGCTTGTGCGTGCTGCTGACAAGAATGTGGCCAGCATCGGACTGCTGTCCGCCCGATTCGTAGTAGAAGTTGCTGGCGGCGGTGACAATGGAAAGGGTATCGGTGGGGTCCTGCAGGCGGCTGCTTTGAGTGCGCGAAACTTCCGCATCGTTGAGGAGCAGGCCCAGCACTCGACTGCGCACATTGGGGATCCTGTAGGACTCATTCTCGCTGTCAAAGAAGTAAACGTATTTGTGACTGTTGTCGGTGGCCGGAAGTCGCTTTGTGAGCGTCGCCTGAGCCTCGGAAATGCGCTGCTCCAGCGCCACATCGCACAGGCCTCCGTCCTCGCGCTGACTCTCCTTGGACTTGTTCTTGGCCAGCGACACCTCCGCCCGATAGCGGTCCAGATCACAGTTCATGTTCTCCAGCTCGGCCAGCTTGAGGAAACTCTCCTCGGTCAGGCCGTAGGTGTCCGTCAGCTTGTAGAGAAAGTCGCCGGGTATCGTGTTGTTGGGAAACTTGCAGCGCTGCACCTGGAACTCCCGATAGGCGGGCACAAAGCCCGGGCATTCCATCAGATCAATGTCGTCTAGGTTGGGGAACTCTGTCAGCACTTCGGCAAAGGCTTTCGAGGAGCTCTCGCGCAGATTCTTGTACACATCGTGCTCGTGATTGATCAGATCGATGACTGCCTCCTGCTTGGCACACATCCCCGGGTACGCCTCCCCCAGAGTCTCCACCACAATGGGCACCAATTGGGAGAGCAACTTCTCGTGGGCAAACACATGCTCCGAAATGTTGAGCGCTTTCCGCAAGACGCGACGCAGCTTCTGGCTGCAAATGGACACGGATTAGTGGGGGAAACAGTCGCTAGGGATCGGTGTAACCTACTTCTGATCTGGCAGCATACCATCGGCAAGGCAGGCGGTGACCATGCGCGCATGATCGGCAAGTATTCTGTAGCTTGTGTCCAGTAGCGCTGCATTTGAGGTATCTGGGAAGCTGCCGCCATAGACCGGGGCCTTGGACAGCTGCTGGATGCCATCGAAGAGCGGCGTGAACAAATCCGTGTCGTAGTTGGAGGATTTGCTCTGCAGAGTGGCCGCTAAACGCTCGAATCCCATGCCCGTGTCCACATGGTGAGCGGGCAGCTGCGAGATGCTGCCATCGGGATTGCTAGAACCCAACAAATACTTTAATTAATCAATTGAATCGCATTCCTGCCTCTGCCCTCACCGATTGTATTGTATAAAGACGAGATTCCACAGCTCTGTGAGATCCGAGCGACCGGCATTTACCAGCTTGCCGCGCTCCTCCACGCTGCCCAGCTCCGGCCGATGGTCGATGTGTATTTCGGTGCAGGGGCCGCACGGTCCGGTGGCGCCCATTTCCCAGAAGTTGTCTGTGCAGCCAAAGGGTAGAATGCGTGAGACGGGGAAGCTGAAAGGAAGTGCGCAGTCGGAGAGGTGACGCTCGCGGATTATGTAACAGATTGCACGTACCCCAGGCTGCGCCATATCTCGAAGCATTCCGTGTCCGCGGGTATGCCCAGGCGCTCGTCGCCAGCGAAGTAGGTAACATACAAGCGTGCAGGATCAATGTTGTACGGCCCACGGAGCAGCTCGAGAGCCATGGCACAGGCCTCCCGCTGGACAGAGAGAATTACCATAAAATCTTGCAGTTAAAGCGCACAGAAACATACCTTGAAGTAGTCCCCAAACGACCAGTTGCCCAGCATCTCGAAGAAAGTGTGGTGATAACCATCCTGGCCCACCACCGACAGATCGTTGTGTTTTCCGCCCACCCGCACGCATTTCTGGGAATTCACCACCCGCTTGTGGGGTGCCTGCGCTGTGCCAAGAAACACAGACTTGAACTTGAAAACGAGAACAATAATCAGATAAGAATGGACCATTGGGTCGTTGGACTGCGCTGCTTTGCTCACCTGATTCATGCCAGCGTTGACAAACGCCACCGTGGGATCACAGAAGGGCACCACGGGGCTGGAGCGCACAAACTTGTGCTCATGACTGACGGTGAAAAAGTCAATAAATGTTTTTCGAATCTCGCGCGCCGTCAGCACGCGCTGCAATTGCTTGGCCGAGTTGTACATGCCCAAATTGTATAGCAATTCGAGTTAATTACATGCGACCGGCAATTAAAACGGAATCGGATAAATCTCTGCTCGAACAGCTGATCCGCCGTGGCCATTCACTGGGAATTGCCGTTCGCATGTCCGCGTCACACCTGTGCAACTGTTCTATTTTTTACGGGGGCGCAACAGCTGCACGCACGTAGATTTTTGGCTGAAAGGAAAACTAAGAGCAACGACAGTGGATACCACCAGATGTGACAGAGGCTATAAATATCACTGAAAGTAATGAAATCCGCCATCGATATCTGCACCAGAGGTAAACTTGCCCCAGGACTTTGTGAACTTTGACACGCAAAATGCTTCCGCTTTCACTTTCTCCTCCGCCTCTCTCTCTTTGTCTATGTTGTAGCATAACCAAAAACGGCAGCAACAACGCATTTCCCACCTTGGCCAAGTGCAAACCCCAGCAGATAGGCAACAGAAACAAGCATCAACGAAATCATCGAATTATGGCCACAAAACGGCGACCGCTACGCCCGAACCTTGGCACTGCTTCGAGTTCTAGTTCCAACATGAACTTTCGACCTGGGGGTCCGGACATAACTCGGTCCGAGGCTCGGGGCACCAGGCCCACAGCAGCCCCCACCAGTATCCGAGAGATTCTTGTCATGGGCGTCATACATTTGTGTAAGAAAACGATTTTCTTCAATACGGACCTCAAGGTGGCCCTCTACCTGGGCAGCCTGTTCGTGATATCGGTCATTGGGGACTTTGTCCCCTTCCCCAAGACCTACTTCGCGCGCTCCGACAATCTGTTCAACATGTACTTTGTGAAGGTGGGCTGGGGCTGGACTCTGCTCTTCGTGGTGCCCTTCCTGGTCCTGTCTGCCTACACGATCACCTGCGGCGATCACAAACGGATGCTGCGCCATCACTTCCCACGAATTGTCATCGCCACCTTCTTCTGGTTCTTCTGGACTAAGCTCTTTAACATTGTGGAAACATCCTACGGACGCTGCACGGTCAAAGGTTGGCATCAGAATACCTGTATCAAGGGGATCCATCGGCTAACGAAACTTTTCTTTCAGGCTTCCAGAGCAAGTCGAGCTGCCTGAAGGCCGGACATCTGTGGCATGGCTTCGACATATCCGGACATGCCTTCATCCTGATCCACTCCAGTCTGGTGCTCATCGAGGAAGCGCGCCCCATCATCAAGTGGGAGACCATCAAGGAGCACATCCGCAACGAGCTGCACAATCGCAGCGTCTCCGAGAACACGGGCACCAATCCCCTGCGGGGCCTCAACGACGAGCAAATGCGTAGCCTGCAGTTCCTCTACAAACGCCTGACGCCCATCATCCGCACTCTGTTCATCGGCATGGCCGCGCTGCAGCTGCTCTGGGACATAATGCTGGTGGGAACGATGCTCTACTACCACCGCATGATAGAGAAGGTCATCAGCGGCATCATCGCCATACTCACCTGGTACTTCACCTACCGCTTCTGGTATCCCACGCGCGGCATCCTGCCCGAGGAGCCCGGCAGCGGCACCTTCTACTACCAGCGGGAGACCCATGGTTTTCCGTTCAAGCGTCCCTCGCATTTATCCGGTGCGGCTGGCACCAGTAGCGGCCCCTCTGGTCCCGCGAGAGCCAATCCCAATGGCAAAGTAGGAGCAGCGACGAGTGTGCCCAAGGACCAGCAGATGCCAACATTTATGGGCATGCCGCTGTTCACCAGCCCAAAGGCAGCGACCGCTGCAGCCAGCTTGCTGCAATCGGCGCAGCAGAAGCGAGAACGGGAGCAGCAGCAGCAGCTGGGAGCGGAGAGTTGAGCTTCGCCCCAAGGGTGATCCAAACCGTCCTCGCGGGGCGTTCACAAGCATAGCAGGAATTGACAATAGGTGACGGATTGGAAATGGAATTTATACCAAATTATTTTGTATATTCAACGTTAATGATTGAGATGTAAATTATGATATTTATAGCAGCTGGCACCATCCATTTTCTCTCTTTTCTCTTCATCATCATCCCATACCCCAGCATCCGCCATCCGCCATCTGGTTACCCCTCGTTGTAGTCGTAGCTTTAAGCGTTTAGCGTTCTTTTGTTTCGTGCGTTTATATGTGACCAACTTTAACAGTAAAAGGATTTTGTTAACAAAACAACTGCCCGCATTCACTTGTGCGCAAAGGCGGCAAACATGGCCATACCCAGGAAGCCGGCTCCGGCGCCCAGCTTGTAGTTGCCCGGCGTCTTGGCCCACATCTCCCTGAGGATCTCAAAGTTGCTGGGCTGCAGCTTGTGGTACGACTGGCGCTGCCTGAAGCGTAGAAAGTATCCCTCCACCTGGGGCAGCTTACCGAAGGACCAGTAATAGTTCTCGAAGCCCAGCTGGTACAGGCGATGCAGCAGCAGTCCGAGGCTGATGTCCGCCAGGGTCACCTCGTTGCCGGTCAGCCACTCGTTGCGCGGCGCCTGCTGGGACAGCTCCTGCTCCACGTACAGCAGCACATGACGCACGGCATCGAGCACCCGCTGGAAATCTTCGCGGCAGGAGACTAGATCCTTGCGACGAATCTGAATGTCCAGCTTCTGCTTCAGCGCTGACTTGTTGGACTCCAGCTCATCCACAGAGCGGCGCAGCAGGTCCAGCACTTTGTCGTTGTTCTCTAGAAAGGCAAAGCCATGCGGGAATTGTTATTGGCAGCAAAAGTTTCGACTCACTTAGGCAGGATTGACGCACTGGCCCGATGAAGGGAGCCTTGGGCACCAGCTTCATATCATCGTGAATGAAGGAGCCAAGACTCAGAGCGCCCACGGGCACACGTCCCACTGCACTCTCATAGATCATAACCTGATCGTACTGTGCGGAACTCTGGTCGGGCTTCAGCACTGGATGATTGGCTGAAAGGGCAGAGGAAATGCTTAAGATATTTGTGGCAAATACTCGACAAGTAGTAGTAGTTACCTCCCCGAAACTTGCTCTCCACATAGTTAATGATGTGCGTCGAGTTGGGTATGATGAAGGCTCCATCTTGGAGCACTGGCACATCTCCCTTGGGATTGAGATTTAGGAACCAACTGGAATATTGCTCGCCATTGCACAAATCCACCACATACGGCGTAAAGTCAATGTTTTTCTCGTACAGAACGAGCAGCACCTGCAAGGGAGTGGAAATGGAGATTTGTTTATTTTCCAGTTCATCTATTTATATTGTCGCTTCATTAACACCTGCCGAGCGGACAGGTAAACAAATTATAAATCAAATTCCCCCATGGATGGTGTCATAATTCAGAGTACAACACAAACTCCCCCGTCAAGCTCCATTGCACTCGACATTGAGCAGAGTTCAGCTGATCGTAAGGGCTCGCAGGGGGCTCCCTGTGTAATGAGCATCGGGGGGTTAAATAATGAATCGTCATTCGTCTCGATGATGATTCGTTTTGCAAATTTCGCGCCATTGGATGATAAATAATTTGTGGAGAGAATCGAATCACATGATTAACATTCAACATCAGCGGCACTAACTTTTTGTGAGTAGAAGTTGTAGGGATGGAAGTAGAGCACGAGCTTGTTGTCCGCAAACACAGGAGCCTTGAAGTCCTGCAGAATGGCTGGCTGTGTGGCTGCCTCAATTTCCTTCGCCTGATCGCTCATTTTCCAATAAAATTACGTTCTCGGTGGCAGCCGTTCCCTCTCTCGCGTTAGTCAACTGAACTATTATGCTAGCTGAAAGGTTTTTCCTTTATCACATGCCTCGCCGCTCGACGAAAGCCGTTACCGCGTGCCGGAGACGATCGCAACCAGACGGAATATGTGAAGAAAAACCGTTTGCACGCGAGAACCGACGTTGGGCAACTAACTGACTGCCAGTGCTGGGGCGCTCCACATCTAGAGTGGAGAGTGGAGCATCGAGCGTGTAGCTGAAGCTTCTCCGACAGCCTCATATTAATTCGCACTTTCGGCTGGGAATGAATTTCATGGCATTGCGACTTCGGGAGACCCGAAATGAAGTTTCAACTATGTCAAGCGATTCTCACTCGCACTCGCTTTCATTCTGCGGTTGCTACTCGTGTTTGCTTGTCACAATTATTTATCTTTTGTTTATTTGGCATTACGAAACGGAACGCAACGTTTTATCTTCTGCTGGGGGAGATTTTCTTTTCAAAATGTTCTTATCTACCGATGACCGAGATGACTGTTTGGGGAGTGGGCTATTCTTGGCGCATGAATGAGCAGATTTCTCAATAAACATACAGCGTGATATTAAGTATTACAAGTTCTTAGCTGCTAAACCACAAATTACTCAGTAACCATATCTAAGCCACTGTGCAAGCTTTCAGTAAATCCAAAAACATAGCCGTTATTCGAAGCAAGAGCTTTTTGTTTCACTGTGAATGGCAAATCCAATAAGAAGTATCGGCGCTGCAGCTTTTGCCGATTGATTCCCCAACTAAAGTCGTTTTACAGTTAATGATTGTTAATTGTTAAGAAACTAATATCTCAAACTATAATCGAATCTCGCGTTTAAACTATGTTTCATCTCGGCAAGCAGTTGATTGGCAGGGCGCCAAATCTCCCATTAAGTGCCGCCACCGCTGTGACTGTGGCCGGAGTCCAAAGTGCCGCAAGAAATCTTAATCTTAACAACAACAAACCCGATCAAAAGCTTGTTAGCCATAATCTTACCCATAAGCGCTTGTCCAGCACCAGTCAAAGTTCAAGCGTCAACCAAATGAAGCGTTTAGCAGGGAAAGTTGCAGTGGTCACCGCCTCCACAGATGGGTAAGCGTAGAAGAGATTACTCCTGCCACTTTTGTTATCTCGATTGATCCCCTTGCAGCATTGGCTTTGCTATTGCCAAACGACTGGCCGAAGATGGAGCTGCCGTGGTGATCAGCAGCCGCAAGCAAAAGAACGTGGACAACGCTCTGGCGGAGCTGCGCAAACTGAACCTGAATGTCCACGGCCTGAAGTGTCACGTGAGCGAGCCCCAGGATCGCAAGCAGCTCTTCGATGAGACCATCAGCAAGTACGGCAAGCTGAATATATTGATAAGCAATGCGGCTACCAACCCTGCCGTCGGTGGGGTCTTGGACTGCGACGAGAAGGTCTGGGACAAGATCTTCGATGTCAACGTGAAGAGCTCGTATCTGCTGGCCAAGGAGGCGCTGCCCTATCTGCGGCAGGAGAAGGGCTCCAGCATTGTGTTTGTCTCCTCCATTGCGGGCTACGATGCCTTTGAGGTTAGTGGGTGACGCGACCAATGACCATTGGCTTATCTCAACCTTCTTATCGTTGCAGCTGCTGGGCGCATACTCCGTCAGCAAGACGGCGCTCATTGGCCTCACCAAGGCTGCCGCCAAAGATCTGGCGCCAGAGGGCATTCGCGTGAATTGCCTCGCTCCCGGCATTATCAAGACAAAGTTCTCGAAGGCCCTGTACGAGGATGAGTCAGCGAACGAGGCGGCGCTCATGAAGATTCCAATGGGTCGTCTGGGCACCAGCGAGGAGATGGCCGGCGTCGTCTCGTTCCTGGTGAGCGAGGACGCTGGATACATTACGGGCGAGGCCATTGTGGCCGGCGGTGGCATGACTGCGCGTCTCTAAGCGGTGTACATAAATATATTTCCTTAGAGGCTATGGATAACAGGCTTGAATACAAATATGGATGCAGTTTGGTGGCGTCGTGCTGGTGTCTAGGAGGAGCGCAACTTGGCCAGCTGGTCGGCAATGTCCTTCTCGGTGCGCTTGCCGCTCGTCTCGAAGTCCGCGCTGCCAGTGGCTGGAATATTGGACATCTTGCCGGATATCTCAATGCCAATCTCATCGAGAACCTTGTTCACCACGGCATTCGACTCCTCCTCGTCACCCGACTCGTTCAGCATGTCGTCCAGTGTGTCGTTGATCATCTCGTCCGTCATTTCCATCTTCATGTTCGCTGCCTGGAAGTCGCGCACTGTGCCAGCAATCGCCTCGGGTCGCATCACCTTGTTCATGTCCGCCATGGTCTTGGCCGTCGTTCCCATTGCCTCGCTCAGCGCTATGTTGGCGCCCATGTTCTTGTTCTGGAAGCCAATGGACTGGATCTTGCCGGCCGCCGCATAGCTGCGCGACTTCTGCTTTCGTATCTCCACCAGTTGCTTGGCCAGTATGCGACAGGCGTCGTTGTTCCCAGCGGCTGCATTGCGTCTAATGTCAGCCTCCAGTTTCTTCTCCTCCTCCTCCATTTTGCGTCGCTCGCGCTCAATGTCGCGAGTGGCCTTTTTCAGTGATCTGTCATTTTCGCGCTGCTGCTCCTTGACTGTGGGTTTCTTGCCGAATATGTTATTGAACATTTTTTGAATTTATAATAACTGCAGATTGCGACGTTCGAGAATTCCTTTTTCCCCTATGAATCACGCAAAAGTTCCCCAAGCAAATCGAAGTAAACATTGCAGTAAATCAGATCAGCTGGCAAGTGCACGCGTTGCGCTGTGAGTGTCTGTTTTCCCAGTTTGGTGCTGCCACTTGGATCCGGTCTTTGCCGATTTATTATTGTTAAAAAATGGACAAAGAAATTATAAAACAAGGCGCTGAGGCTCGCCTGTACCTCGGCAAATACGAGGGCGAAACCTGCCTGATCAAGGAGCGCTTCGTCAAGAAGTACCGCCACCCAGACCTGGACAAACAAATCACGCGACGCCGCATGAAGGCGGAGATGAAGACGGCGGCACGTTGTCTGGCTGCCGGCGTTCTGGTGCCGAAAGTACTTCACTTGGACTACCCCGCACACACCTTGTACATCGAGTACTATGCCAATGCCAAGACAGCCAAGGAGTTCATCCAGGAGACAGTTGCCACCCAAGAGCCGGGCGAGGCGAAGAAGATTCTGCAGGATCTGTGCTGGCGCATCGGCGTTATCGTCGGCAGAATGCACGTTGACCACATCATCCATGGCGATCTGACCACATCGAACGTACTAATCAATCCCCAGGAGAACAAGTATGAAGTTGTGTTCATCGATTTCGGGCTGAGTCACTACGACAAGGGCGCCGAGCGCAAGGGCGTGGATCTGTATGTCCTGGAGCGAGCTCTGCTGAGCACCCACAGCGAGCAGTCCTACCTCTTCGACTACATCCTGGAGGGCTACCGCGCGCAGTGCGGCGCGGAGGGACTTCTCGTCCTTGTCAAGTTCGAGGAGGTGCGCGCCCGTGGACGCAAACGGACGATGATTGGCTAACAACAAATATTCTTTAATAAAACTTAAATCCGTAGATCTATTCCCTATTCTATGCGCTTGAGGGTCTCCTCTCTGGGTGGGTCATCCTGCAGCTCATCGATCTTGATTTTCTTTATGTATTTGCGCAGCTTTGTTTTGCGCTTGACCTGCTCGTGCTTGAGTGGCTCCAGACCCTCCACGGCGGACTCCTTGTACTTGGCATAGGGGCGCGCCTTTATCTTGGCAATGGCATCCTCCAGCTTGAGCCCAGTCAGGCCCTGCTCCTCGTAGTACAGACGGTACTTATCACAGAACTTTGAGTGTCCCTTCTTAAAGTTGGGCGCTTTGGTCGAAGGATGCTGCAAAGTGCGAGGATTAAAAGTGATTTTCTCTGGGAGAATGGCACGTCGAAACACTCACCCTGGCATCGATGGCTCGGGCGCAGCCTATGTGAAACCTGTGCAGATGCCGCAGAAAGTGCTCGTTGGGCTTGATGCCCTCCTCCAGGCTCAGCTGCATGATCTCATTGATGTAGCCGAATGACTTCTGTTCACAGCCCTGCCGCAGCATGGCGCCCAGTATGGGCATGTTCATCTTGATGCCCGCCTCCTGCATTTGCTGCAGCAGCTCCCTGGCCTCCTCCTGGGTGCGGCAGCCCAGTGCCAGCACGCCGTAGGTCACGATATCCGGATGCAATCCAGCCGTGCGAACCATAGAGAGCACCTCGCGGGCACTCTCATAGTCGTAGCGCATCGAACGCTTCTTGATCAGAATATTGAAGAAGTCAATGTCTGCCTTCAGGCCGATCTTGCGCACGAATGTGAGGATCTGCTTCTCAGCCGCATTGGTGGGTGGAATCACCTCCAGCATGGTGGTGAAGGTCTGTATATCGGGTGTGATCTTGTGCTGCTTCATGTGCTCCAGGAAACCAGTAATGCCGCCCAGCAGGAGGAACCGTTCGTGGGGACGCGTAACCTCCTCCAGGGCCACCAAACTGCCCAGGTGTGGTCGCGGCAGTAGCAGATTGGGCAGCTCCAGCTCACTGGCAGTCGTCGCCACTTCAATGTGGTCTGCCAGCGACTTGGCGCTCGATGTTTCCATGGGTAAATCTTCCTTTTGCCCTTCCTCCAGTTGTTCTGCCGCCTCCTGTTGGGTTGCTGCTGGTGCTATCTGTTCGAGAACCTCCCGCATGGACTCCAGAGTGCCAAAGCCACAGTCCCGTGCACAGCGAAGCATCGCATTGAAGCTGTAGTAATCCGGACTGATGCCTGCCCGCAGCATTTTGTGCCACGTGAGGAGAGCGTGCCGAAAGCCGTGCTCCGGTTTGCTGGCACACGCCTGCAGCAGGAAATTGAATGTCTCTGCGTTCATGTCCAGCTTTCGCTCCACCATCTCATCCGCCAGCAGGTAGGCTGTGTCCACATCCCCGCACCGCCCGTACGCCTTGATCATGGCGTTGTAATTCTTCGCATTCGGCTCGTAGCCCTTCTCCAGCATGTTCTCCCGCAGTATCTGTGCCTTGGCCAGTCCATCGCTGATCGTGGGCGCATTGGCACACGCATTGAAGAGCGATGTGTAGGTGCCGCCCGAGACGGGCAGTCCGCGTTGCCGCATCTTCGTGTACAGCGAGAATGCCTTGCGGGTGTATCCGGCCTTGGCGCAGCCGCTGATCAGCAGATTGTAGATGTACTTCTCCGGCTTGACACGATCCTCGCGCAGCATGCGCTGCTCCAGCACGGCAATGGCATCGTTCAGCCGGTTGGCGTTCAAATGTTCCTTGATGAGATGGGCGTACTCCTTCGCTTGCAGTTTCTTCGAGTGTCGCGTGGGCTTGCTTATGTATTCCTCCTCTTCGACATCTCCAGGATCTTCGGTTTGGCTAGCGCTGAACTTGGCATCACCAAAGGTATCCGGATCCCCATGCTCCAGCACTTTTTTCGGTTTCTTTTCCTTCCGTTCCTTCCTTTTCTCCACCGACTGGATTTTCTTGTGCTGCCTGGTAGCTTCCACATCAGCTTCCTTATACTTTTCATCTTGGAATGGGTTGCTGTGCCTATTGGCCTCTCGTTTAGCCTGCAGACCGGCTTCCTGATCCGTAATACGCACGTGCAGCTGCCGGTTCCAGGTGGCCAAAGGAACCAATTGGAGTCGACTGTTATAGCTATTTACAGAGCGCCTTGCGGTGTTCAACTGCAAGTGGCGCATATGCGAGGCCAGCGCTTGGCTGAGCAATCGCAGGGCCATAGTTTCTGTGATTTTTATGTAATTTATCAAACTTTTCAAACGTGTGTGCCGCTGCGGTGTAAATACTGAAACAGCTGCAGAGTGCGGAGTTGCCACCTGATCTAATTTGCCATTCACATGTAAGCACAACATTCTCCCGTCACATTCCCATTTTTGTGACCTGAATTAGTTTAATTTAGTGAAAATTTAACAATTTCAACATGAACAATCATGTGGATCCACGTCGCAAGGAGAAAATCAATCGCTACAGGGCGCCCAAGAATCAGGGCCAAGGCGGCGGCGCCAACGAGGACATGATGCCGGACTACATGAATATTCTGGGAATGATTTTCTCAATGTGCGGACTGATGATGAAGGTGAGTCCAAAATATGTGACCCGGTGGACTTATCAGTGACAACCGCGCTTCTTTTACAGCTCAAATGGTGCGCCTGGTTCGCCCTGTACATTAGCTTTGCCAGCTCCAAGGCCAGCGACGATGCCAAGCAGGTGCTTTCCTCCTTCATGCTGAGCGTCAGTGCTGTGGTCATGTCCTACCTCCAAAATCCAGCTGCCATGACTCCGCCATGGGCCTCGTAGCAGTAAGAAGCCAGAGCACAGCATTTCCTGGTTCTAGTTTAAATAAATGTGAATTTTTATTGCGATCCAAGAGGGGATAAAGAAATGAACTAATTGTGTTGCATTTTAAATAATTTAAATATGAGAAAAACAAAAAAACATGCTGTAAAATTTAGCTAGAAGCGGTGGGGGTGCACCAACGATATTGCCACGCTCGGGTATGAGGATGATCAGTTCGGGATCATCTTTAGGTTGTGAGTAGGTAGTAGGCAAACAGAATGAAGGCTAAAATGTAGATGGTGCCGATTATCAGGACGTATTAAATCTCTCCAAAGTTCGTGTGGCCGGTCGACTTGGCGTGCTCCTGGGCTTGCACCTGGCCCACCAGCATCACGTCGCAGTCCATGCAGCGCAGCGTGAACTTGTCCACGTTGGTGAACTGGCGCGAGGACTTGGCCTCGTTGGCTATCTGCTCGGCCTGCTGGTAGACGCCCATCTCCTCCACGGGGAAGATGGTGGCAGGCACCGAGTTCTGTAGCGTCTCCATGTACAGCGGATCATAGTGGATGCCATCGAAGAGCAGGAAGACGCGCAGTCCGAAGTTTTTGTCCTCGCCAAAGCGATTGATTATAGCATTCTGTATGTCCACCACATCGATCTCAATACCGTAGTAATTGGACAGAATGGACACTTCAATGGCACCGCCCCACGAGTCGGCCTTCTGGATCCAGGCGCAATATTCTGCATTTGACTTGCCCAACACGGCGTCACTGTATTGGGTCGTGTCGGCGGACACCTCCTGCGCTATGATGTGTCGCATCATCTCGCTGCCCTCGTTGTCCACCTTGCCGTTCAGCACGAAGCGAATGCTCGTGAAGAGGCAGGAGTTATCCGCCGGCACCACCTTTTTCAGTAGGATGCCATTGAAGTTGCCGTTCGGCCCGGACACTTCGGGTGGAATCACAGGCTCCAGCGATTGGATGACATTCACAGCGTTCGTTTCGACTCCGCCGCCGCCTGCAGCTGCGCTGGACACTTGACGCAGATGCTCCGCATCCTCCTCAGCTTGCAGACGACGCGCCAGCGCCTCGTCATCCTCCAGTGTTGAGCTGCCACTGGCTGTGGCAGGAGCAGGGGCAGCTGCAGCTGTAGCAGCAGCCTTCTCCTCCACAATCAAGGTCTCGCCGCTGTGGATGCCCACAGTCTTGAGGTTTTGGCTTTCCCGATTTGCCGAGAGGTCCAATGGTTTGGGCGGATAGCCGACCAGCACGTGCAGCTGCGATTCCTGTATGGCCGTCGCCTGGGCTATTCTCGCCTTCAGCTCCCCAAGCGTCGTATTCTGGTTCAAGTCATTGACAATGAATTGACCTTTTTTCGATTTCAGCTTCACGCTAAATGACGACCCAGTCATTGCTCCTATCGGGTTTTAACACAGAGACGCACAGCGGAGAGATTTGATTTGAATTTTTGTACAATTTAGGCTATTTTTATATTTTGGATTGACTTGAATTTATAAGTTATATATATGGTATTTTTTTTTTTATTATATTACATATATACAGTGTCACCGCGGAATTATCGATAAGATATACCGAAATATACACTTGCACTTTCAAAATATACTGTAAATGCACCGTAAATCTTAAATCATTTTCCTCGATTTCGATGTTCTATTTGATATTAATAGCTAGTTAGGCTTCTCAGCGCTAAAACTATAGTTTTATCTGATTCAACGATAAATTATCCAGAAGACTGGCTAGTTTTCCCAACTTCCTTTTAATCGAATGTTTACAAATTAAGTTTGAAACAAAAAAGATCAACCAACAAAAATAGCATAAAACGTTATGTCACTGGGAATGGATTGCTACGTATTTGACAATTTGTAGTTGTCAACTGGTAGGTGAGTATAGCATGGGCATTTGAATACCCTATTTCCATAATTGAATATTAAGCTTTCATATGATCTCTATGTATATACCGATATCTATAATTTGAAAAATCTTCGTTGAGATGAATTTCCAACATAGACTGACTTGTTATTGCATTGATTGGAGCCTAAGATTTCAAACATTTCCTCAATTCGAGGTCACCCTGCATATATATGTATATGTTCGATAACGATAGCCACTGCTTGACAACACTTGTGCGTGAGACTTTACAGCACTGAACCGTACTTTATGTGTGGTGGCGCGCAAATTTAAAAATTGTTATGCTACTGGTAATGCCTGCCGCTTTAGGTGTTAATCTAATGCCTAATGACCAAGCTAGTTGGCTGAGAGGCCGCTAATTAAAGTTTAGCAGGCAGCATTGCAGAGAGTTTCCAGCTAATGGGCTGCACAAACAGAACAGTCCAGAACCAAGGAAATGCCAATACAAATTGGGGAAACAACCGCACAGACAGACGTCAAGTCAACAAATGATCCAAATACTCGAATGTTACTTTAGAGTTTGAAACCCAACAATGGAACCACAAGAGCAGCCACAAAATGAATAATGTGGTTCGATGTTTTTTTGGGCTTTTGTTATTGCCTCGGATGCGTGGTACACTTAAATCACATTTAATAGTCCAAACAAATTGATTGCCCGCGCCTCCTCTCCACTCGACACACTCTCGTCTCTCTCCTCTACGATTTGCGAGATGTTCGGTCTGCCGGTCTGCCGGTCTGCCGGTCCCCGCGTTGTTTTAATTTCTATGAAAGACGACCGAGCGGGCCGACTATAAATAGTTGGGCAGCGGGGTCTGGTGTTCAGTGCACGCAGTTCATCCGTCTGTCAACGACATCGATCAATCCCAGCTCCCAGCTCCCAGCTCCCAGCTCACAACTCCCAACCAAGCAGTCAACAAAAATGAAGTTCTTGCTCCTGGTGCGTCGCCCAACTCCACACGAAACTGGATAATCATTCAATCATTCAATCACTCATTCCCCACATCCACTAACCACGGACTATCTTTTGCTTTTCAGAGCGTTTTCCTTTGCCTGGCCGTGTGCTTCATGGCCAGCAGTGCGGTGCCCATTGAGGAGTCCATACCCGAAGGTCTCGAGGGCCCTGGCAGCGACACCTTCAACCCCACGGACGATCAGTCCTTTCTGCTCAAGCTGAAGCTGCTCAAGAAACTCCTCTTCCTGGGCTAAGCGAGGAATGAGTTCTGTCTGGCAGCTGCCTCAATGGATTTTTAGCTTAACTTTGTCTTTAGGGTTTTAAGGAACAAATTTACAAGAGAATTAAAAGTAATGAAAGTATTTGATAAAGAAAATCTCAGTCTTTGGGGGAAGGGTAATCAAGTTTGTTTCTTCAATCATTTGTTTGACAAACTGAAGCAGAAGTCGAAGGGAAGAAGGTCGCTTCGGGGCGAGTCTGTTGCTATCTGACACTGAATATAGAGCCAAATATGAGACTTTGCACAAATCCAGCGAATACTTAGAAGATTTCTCCTCTTGCTCCATGAGACTTTCCAAGAGATCCCAAGGCATCATTGGCACCCAAATCTACTCATTCACTGTGGAAAGTAACAAAGAAAACTGCCAAGAATAACCTTCATGCATATTAACATTAAATCATACAATTCCTTAAAGGAATTAGGTTCCAAAACCGATAAAAGTTGAACTGCTTTCTGCTGACTGATTTACTACAACAAAAAACATAAACGCACAAACAGGAAAACGAAGGAACTTACCCATAAAAGTCCTTCAATGAGTCATTTAAAAGGGCAACTCATAAATAAGCAGAAAGATAAGCGATGCAAGGGGAAGATCCTGTTTGGGTTGCCACATCTGAAACGTGTTCCCTTTTTGAGCACAGAAATCACCACAGAAACTGTCAGTTTGTTGTATGAAAAGTAAATTTATTTTAGTTACGATTACGATTACGCATAACTCTACTCGTGGGTTGTGTGGTGTATGGATATTATGGCATTATCTATAGGTAGAACGGATTGAACGTTGTTAAGTGCAGCAGAATAATTGTGGATTGAACGCGGTTGGAGGTTTTGTTTTATGGACTAGAATGGAAGCTGAACTGGTGGCACTGAGCACAAACTGCCTAGCCCAACAGCTTCTTCAGCTTGAGCAGCTTCTTCAGCTTGAAGATGGCCTGCGGATCCTGGGGACGCTGCACATCGTCAAAGGCCGGCTGATAGATATTGTCCCCGATGAGGGACTCATCCACGGGCACTGCATACACCAGAGCAAGGGCCACCAGGCACACAAAAAGGGTCTAAAGGGTAATCCATTAATAACTTGCTGGAGGATCTGATTAAAGGTCTTACCAATGCGAGGAACTTCATGATTATTGCTTGTGTCTTGGGTGGATGTGGCGCTGTTTAATCCAAAAAATTGACTGCAACTGTTGGCTTCTGTGGCCAGTGGCTTTTATAGCACCCAAACAAAATAAAACGGTGGCCGAGAGAGGCCCAATCGATGATAATGTTGTATGTAAACTGCAGTCTGCAGCGTGGAAGTGGACAAATGAGCGATAAATAAACAAGACAAAGGCAAGAAACTGGCCAAAAAATAAATACTGCAGGCCAGAGGCCAAGAGGTGCGGTGCGGTGCGGTGGGGGGCAAGGCCCTTGTTGGGCAGGTGTCTTCGAGTCTTCAAGTTGCTGTGCAAATCAGACAGGCAGTGGGTCCGCTCGTATTTAAACAGCAAAACTAAACCAACAACTAAAAGACAGCCTGAAAAATGAAACCAAAGCCACGCCCTGTTGACTCTATCAGAGAGGAGCGGAGGGGATTGAGGGGACTGTTCGCTTCGATGAGTAATGCCCCAAAAAAGTGTAAAAGCTGCACACAATTGAAGGTCACTGTGATGGTTGGTCAGGCAAGAGACGAAAAGATTCCACGCATTCAGTTATCACTATTAGAAGCCCCCCACTAATCGGATCCTAAACTCGTTTAACACCTTCAAGTTCAAGTGAAATATTTTGCGGATATTGTGTTGTACCCTTCCATGGATTGATCAATGGCCAAGCCAATTAAATCAAATGATTGCCAGCGACAGATAGAGAATGGGAACCATAAATATTTGACACTTCTAATAGCCATCGGACGTGAAGATCACCGCGATATGTATTCGAGATCACTAAATCAATAAAAGCCAAGCCAAAACTTTTGGGGCAGGGGCGGAGGCCAGCATAAGTGCCGAGTCAGGGCGATGAGATTGCAGCTTATCCGAAAACCGGAAACGAGCAGCTGGTCTAGATATGTAAATCAAATGGATTTAGAGAAGCCCCCCCACACACACGCATAATGTTACCAGTGGTCAAGACATGCCAGAGATTGATATAAAAATATCTAACAAATATCAGCTGCATATACATACATATGTAATATCGATGCAACAATGGAGCATTGTCATCTATCTGTAGCTGTTTCTTAGGGTTTTGTTTCCCATGCCCCTGGGGATGGCCAATTAAACAGGCATGGCCTCTGGCCGTGTGTGAATGTGTCAATTCGTTTAAACCAAGAAGATGACAGACAGACAGATGGTAAAAAGTTGCGGCAGGTCTAAAGGTTTATTCATGGTCATCTAAGGCACCATCTGAAGCGTCTTCTGGCTGCTCCTTGGAAGACTCTTCCACCTGTGGCTCCTCCGCACTGCTATTCATAACTGATCTCTCCACATAGCCCGGTGGCGTCTTCATGCTAAACTGAATTCTGCAGGTAGCCAATTTGATGACTTCCTCGTAGACCTGCACCAGTTCGAGCAGGGCCAGATATCTGCCATCGGGCACCCGAGAGGAAAATAACTTTACATCGATGGGACTGCTGGCCACGTAGTAGAACCCCGGCACCAGGGGACACGACACGAAGAAGGTGGACGGCAGCAGGCTCTCGCCCTGCCCATGATCCGTGGAGATATTCCGCAGCGAGTCGAGCATCTTGCACAGATCCCGGTTCTTCAGGCGCACCAAATCGCTGATGTCCGCTCCCCCCGGCGTGTCCGAGAGCTTTCGCACAAATATGTGCATGAGGAGTTTGCCGGGAAAGGGCACTCTGATGGTCATATTGAAGTTGATGTCCTCCAGGTGATCGATGCTCGAGCTGAAGCAGATTTCATTTGGCACAAAAGATGTCGCATGAAATTTATCTATTTGCAGATTGAGCTGGGAGTTCATAGAAAACTAAAGTATGCAGATCTCGGATGGTTTAAATGGGGAGACTCACGCCGTAGGCTTTCGCTGCCATGCAAATGAGGCCCAAGGTCAGACTTTGCAGTGGTCCCATGGTCCCAGCGGATCAATCGGAACTAGCCGCCTCGCCACGCGCTGATTGAGAAATTTGCCTCATTTGGGTTCCCATTTAGTCAGGCCACGTTGAGTCCACTAATGGCGATATTTTGTGGGTAGATTCTTATCAAACCTCATGACCCTAACAATGATGGCATACCCAATCGGCGGGGCGTATGCGTGCTGTGTTTATGTTAACACTGAATATGATCACAGTATTTTTAATAGTTTTTTGCTGTTAAACAACATGTAAATTAGTGGTAACGACTCCATTGCGGAGCCTGGAACCAGTGGCGAGTGCAGCCAGCGAACTGATGAACTTGAACCAAAAAAAAGAACAGCAAAGTTTGCCCTGTAAACGGACATAAATTGTGCCGTTGCTGCCGCCGCTGCCCGTCGTGACCCAAAAGTTGAACAAAAGTCTCAGATAAATCATCCCAAACGAAAAATATATGTCTGTGTGTGTGTGTGTGTATGTATGCCAGTGGACCATAAATTCAAGCATTTTTATTGCAATTTGCTTGTTTGTACCAAAAACAAGTGCAAACAACGGACCAAAGCAGAAGCAGAGAAGCGGCGGCAGAATCAGCAAAAGCAACAATCAACAAATGCTGACTTAAGCCGCAAACTACAGTGAAAGTGACGTAATGCGATGGCACCGCACCGACAACAACAGCAAGAGCAACAGCTACAAAAGATGTATAAAACCATTAAACAACGACAACAAAGTACAGAGAAACGGAGAGTGAATGAGAGAGATGCGGCGAGAGAGCACAAGAAAGTTCACCGTGAACCGAAGCTTTGATACCCTTACAGATGGGTTCTTGCTATGGCAGCCATGGTATAAGCGTACATGATATTGACTACTCATAATAGATGGACATCACTTAGCACCTCTACTTTTGATGCTAACCATTAATATAAACCATTTTTATTCTCAGAGAAACTTTTTTCGCTGAGTGACTAACTTCTAATCAAAGTTACTCTACCCCTTGTTCGATGTCGAACAAAAAGTAAGAGTGCAAAAAAAAATGTCAATGTCTTTTACAACGAAGAAGCAGAGTGGCAGCAGCTGACTCGTGGATAAATGAGTGGTAGGGGAAGGGGAGGGGAGGTGAGGTGAGGCAGCAGTGAATTGGATAAAGCGCAAACAGCAGCAGAGCAGGCACTGCAAAAACGTAGAGGTTGTTGTTTGTGCACGCCACAGAGCTTTGGCGATGGGGGTCGTGACTACCCGCGAAAGGTTTCGGACAGCTAGAAGAAAGCAAAAACAACACTTAAATAGTTAGAACTCAGGTAGAGGAGCACAGATCACCCAACCACCAACTCACGCTTTCATCTCTAGGGCACCGCCACTGTGGGTTTTCGCGCAACATAAAAAAAAGTTGCACATGCATCGGATGTCGGCTTACATTTTATTTACTACTTTTCCTTTGCTGTGCTTCGTTTTGGGTAAACTTTATGCGTTCCACGTTTTACTTTATCTTCTGCATTTACAATTCAATGTCACGCCGGGCCTTACGTGGCTTTTGTTTCTCTTTTGAAATCGCCAAATTAAACCAAAAGAAGAAGAGGGAGAAGAAGAAGCTGCAACAGATAGTCAGATCTTTTGCAGTGTAACCGGTTGGGGCGGACACTGCCGGCCACTCCTCCGTTAACGCTTGGCCGCAGACAATGCAGTTTCAATGTTAAATTTAGCCTGCAACCTGACCTTGAGACTTCAGCTGCGCCTGCAATTGTCGGTAGGTCGGTCGGTCTGCCGTCCACTGCTGCTGTGGCAAGTACGAATACGAGTATTATTTATGCTCGTAAGACCCATCAAGTTTTATGTACTTGCTGCTTGGTCGATAATAATTGCTATTAAAGCAAAACATAATGTAAGTACTCTTTATTGCGGTGGTCATTAACAGTCTAGATTTTTCTCTTTGTTGTTCCGCTTGTACGAAGGTCGTTTACAGGAATTTCGTTTGGAATCTGTTGGTTCTCAGCCATTGTCATCTGAATTTGAGTGCCTCTGAGGTTCAGTGTCTATGCATCGCGTGACAGATTGCCCCATGGCTAATTCTGAGCATCTTTAAAGATACAACTAACCTTCAGCTAAGGAAAATCTAGGTTTATGCGCTCAGCTTGGAAAAAAAAAACAATAAATATTTGTATGGTTTTTGCAGTGCTTACAGTGCCACCAATGTTCAATGTTCGATAGGTGTTGCTATATTTAGTTTACCAAGAGATACTTATAATTCCCCTATATCCATTGAATTATCTGTAATTCGTTGTTTGTGGAAACTTAATCAATTTGAATCATAACTCAATAATCATGTTCATTTACTATAGCAATAACCCTCGACTAACTAGAATCTAGGTTTATGTGCTTATCTGGCAATCAACACTTTAGAATCTGAACATTTTTCATGACGAATCACTGACACACCCCACCAGCGAGATCGCACCTCACGTTCCGCTGATTTTGAGCAGAGATCAATGCTAAGTGATATGTCTAAAGAGAACAAGCAACAGTAGCATCGGAGAGGGGAGGCATTCAAAATTCATACAAATTTTAATCACTATATTTCTGTGCTATGTTGGTTGTTGATTTAGCACTTGAGACTTTTGTTTTTACAAGCAATTTTTGTATGCATATACGATACGTACACCCCACCGATATACCATAGACAAAATGCAAATTCCCGTTAATTGAATGCCAAGCAAAAGCGCAGTGGCACTTGCCAGCAACAACATCGAAAGCAGAGAGAGTGAGAGGGAGGGAGGAGAGAGCGTGTAAGAGAGAGTGAGGGAACGTTGGGCTGAAACCAAAGCGTGTTTGAAAAATCAATTAGCAGCATAAAATGCTTTTTAGGGGGCGCTCCGGCTGCTGAGGAGGGGGGGTGCTTAAAGCCGTACCTGGGTTAGTTTTTGTAATAGTCTTTTGTTGCTCTTCGGCTGGGGCTATCACTTCGCTCTGGCCGGTTAAAGCAGAGCAACAGAGAACGATACAGGGAGGGTAAACGGTAAATCCCCTACAGCCATATCTAGAGAATGCGAGAGAGAGAGAGAGGGAGAAAGCATGGGGAAGGAATGGGAGGTAAAGTGCAGTGGAAAACCGCAGCTGCTGCTTTAAATTTATGCCAACGCGGCATTAGAAGCATGGCTTGCGGTTAAATGGGTAGAAGATAGACGAGGGTGCAGACGATGGGCGGCAGGGGTGGGAGGTGTGGTTGGTTGCCATATTGGCTAGGTATTGGTAACATGTCCATGTGCAGCTAGCTGTCTGTGTGTGTGTGTGTGTGCAAGAAATCAAGGCTTTAGTTGCGGCGGTCGCAACGAAAAATGGCGAAGCGCTTTATGAATATTTATAACACAATGGAGCATGAAAAAAGTTCGTTCGGAGGTAACAGAGAGAGAGAGAGGAGAGTGAGGAGAGGGGTTGACTGAATGCATGTATGCATGCATTGAGGCGTTGGGCGTGTCTCTGGTACGGAGTTCAACCGACTGTTATCGATATCACTGCTAGCAATTGACAGGGACATGGCCCCATAAAAGGATCAAGGGGCCAAAGAGGATAGAGAGAGAGAGGGTAGTTCCAGTTCCAAGACTTGCCAATATTTTCACTGCTTTATAATCATAAATTCCTTTTGTTTAGCTGCAGTTTCCCCTCCTCCTGGGTACGCCTCTGCCTTGCAGCTTCTCCGAAAAGCTGCTCTCGACTTACAATGCAAATGAAAATGCCAAAAGCAGCGAAAGTGCTGCCTCTTCAGTGCTGCTGCTGCTGCCTCCTGTGCATTCATCCTTGCATTTAGATTGCCAATAAACTAACACTCGAGTGGGTGTTCGAGTACCCCCCAAGGGGAAACCTAAGACTGACACACATTTCGTACAAATATTTAATTTTGCTAAAATGCCAATCGAACTTAGCATCAGACACCCCAACACCCCTGCCCGAACTTAATATTGCACGTACGCAGTGGTACCCCCCACCAACCCCCTGCAACTATTAATCGAATTGCAATAAAAAGAAATGGCTGCCAGCGGAAAAAAACTTTTAAATTAAAAAAAACTCTAACAAAAATTATGAAATTTTCAATTTCAATTCAAATATTGATTGTTACAGTGGTCTGCGGGAGGGGGGGTAGGGGAGTGGAAATCCCCGTCATGCCCAGTCCATAGTTTCGCGCGACTGTCCGGAGCACGTGCGCGGCGCCATCTAGCGGTCGTTGCATGCAAATTGCCAAATCAGTGCGTGACTTGCAAAAAAAAAGGAGAAAAAAAACCCCAATCGAAATGCAAACTGTTAGTTATGACAAAGCAAACTTAACTAGCGGTTATTTACCCCCCACCCCACCCATCACACGCAAGTGGCAAGTGGCAAGTGGCACGCACGTGTAACACCTGACAAAAGGAGTGATCAAAAACGACTGACCCAATCGGCTCGAGCCAATGGCTTTTGTCAGATTTACGAGAATGCCCGAAGCTAATGGCTAAAACATTTGCCACGCCTCCGCCTAATGTGTGTCCCGCCATTCATGACTTCGTTTAATGGCCCTCAAGCAGCATCTCGTTCGCAGTGTTTTGTGTCTTGTGTGCTTCGGCTTTGACTTTGGTTCATTTTGCTCTGCCCTTTTGTTGCCAAGTTGAGCAATTGTCAAAGTCAAAGCCCAAACAGAAGAGCAGCGAAATGCGTGTAAAAGTTATGCAAAAAATAAAACAATAATAAAATCCTTGGGGCTAACATTTGCCTCTCAAACCTTCTCGTACCCCTCGTACCCCTCGTACCCATCGCTTGAGTGCTTTTTCCCTCTGGCACAAACGTTTGTCCACTCGGCCCCAGTTCTTTGTGTGTTGTGTTGTCTCTCTCTGCTCTCTCCCTGGCTGTGTGATGCATTTTAAGTGGCATTTCCTATTGGCATTTGTAAACACATCTATCGCCAAAGTTATTTCTTAAATTTATACTTTCATGTGCAAAAGTAGAGCAAACTTGCAACTCCTTCGGTGCCCTGCCCTGCCCTGCCCTGCCCTGTCCGTTCCCCTTTCCGAATGGAGTGTCAAAAGTTTTTTGTCAGTCCTTGGAGTTTATTGGTTTGTTTGCTTTCCCATAGCGCAGGAAGTTTTCGTTTTCGTTTTCGGCTGGGGAAATAGTTTGTGTGGCCAACTAATCGATTTGGACAGTTTACAACATGTTTATCATAAGTATTTGACCAAAAGACCAAAAGAAATATTTATATCAATTGGCTGGCAAAGCAAACTTGCAGCTCCAACTGGTCGGGCGACAGCGCAGCGCAGCGCAGCGCAGCAAAAGGACCTTCAGGGAGAAAGAGTTGTGCAAATGTTCCTTTTATTGTAATTGAAAGTGGCTTGGCATTGATGTTAGACAAAAGTTAGGGCAAAATAATCAATTGGGATTCGACTTTAAATCAGCTTCTCTCAGGGGAAAGTTTCATGCTCATTTGCCACTTGCCCTGTGGGCCACTTGAGGCTGCTTTGCAGTTGGAATTTATGTCAAATTAGCGAGCGCCTCAATGACAAATGCGCGGAGTGGAGATCCAGCGTAAAGGCCGCAAAGAATGCAATTTTTGCCAGAGCAGAGAATAACAGAGAAGAGCTGAAGCTGAAGCTGAAGCTGAAGCTGAACTTCCTTCCTTCCTATCTGCCCTCTTGGGTGGGGAGAGGAGGCCAACGGAAATTAGTTCAACGGCACTCAAAACGGCGGCAGTTAAACGTCGCCTAAGACTAGAGTGGAGAGCAGCAAGAGCCCAAACCCGCAGCCTCCTGCCACTCCTCCTGCAGGACTGCAACTTGTCCGCCAGCAGGCACTTGTTTTTTATAGCTCCAAGAGGATGAACGGGGGACCAGCGGCAGAAGCGGACATTTGAAGATGATGTAGTGCGGACATAAACATAAATAATGGCAATGCGCAGTTATTACTTTTCTTGGTCTTCATCGCGGCACTCCTCAGTTCTCAGTTCTCCGGGCTCCGAGCTCTGAGCTCTGTTCTGGTTCTCTCGGTTCTGGTCTCGGTCTACGTCCTTGGGCTGTGTGATGCTTACATAAAAATTAAATGTTGGCAGAGCGAGGAGTAGAAGCTGTAGGAAATTGCAAGATGGAGCTTCATCTTATTCGTTTTTCCTGCTTTTTGCCGGGGGTTTCTGCTCTCTTTTAATTGCATTCTGACTGCCGCATCAAATGGCAACCGCTATCCTAATGGGTTAATTGGGCTTGAGGCAAGATGATACTGCCCCCACCCCGCTCTGTTGCAGCTGCAGCTGTTGATTTATGTGTACTGGCAAATTGACAAACGATTCGCGCTTAATGGAAAAGTCTCTCATACGCCCTGGGTTACACGAATATCTCTCTCTCTCTCTCTCTGTCTGTCTCTTCGCATTATTAATATTCATTTCAGTGCACATAATTTCCAGCAGCAATAAAAAGAGAAGCACCAGCAATTGCCATGATTTGCCAAAAGTTGCCTACAACTCTCGGCCTCTGCAGCCAGGCAGACTGTATGCAACATCCTGGCAACAGGATGCACACGGCCCAGCCCCATGCATTAACAACCTCAATGCCCACCACACGCGTCGTAGCACACACCCAAATCCCAGCCATAACAGCCACCCACCTTGCAAAAATCTCCAGCCAAAAACATAAACAATAAAGAGTGCCACGGGGAGAGCGAAGCAGGCCAAGAGGTGAGCGCAGGCAGGGGGTAACGCACTCCGCTAATGCACCAGAAACTGCATCCACTACTCTTGGAACGCCCCGCCAGTCCCCAGCCCATTTACTTAACAATATTTCTCATTGTTGTTGAGACGTTGCAGGTGTTTGCTGAAGCATATCAAAAATATATACGGAGACGCCACGGTGCACGATGCAGCAAAGGAGTGAGCGTCAGCCAACAAAAGGAGCCATGAAGATGTCTAAGGCAAGGAACTAGTTCCAGGAGCCCAAAGGAGCAGCGGAGTCAGCCAGTAAAGGTGTTCTTTCAGCTATTCGTAGGGGAAAGTGAAGTACAGAACTAGTTCCTTGAACCACTCTCAGCGCTGCTCTTGCCCAAAATCGGAACCAGTTGCCGCCTAAAAGTAGGCAACATTTCTGACATTTGCCATTTGTGCTGCAAGAAAGGAGAATCGCTGCCGCTGCCGCTGCTGCTGCTGCTGC